TAGTTTGTAAGTGGTGCGGTGGATTATGAGTCTAGTCTGTGAGTTTTTGAGCCATCTAGGTAGTTTAGATTAACATACTTTAATAGTTTGGTGGTTGTAGAAGTAAACACATGGTAAATAATATGTCGTTGGGACCTATTGTTGAGCAGGGCACATATTGTAATATATGTATTTTATGATCATGAAATAGGTAAAAGTAGTACGCGGGTGTTTCTGTTTTGAGGACTATTCATAGGTTCTACAGCATATCCTTTTAATTATTTGGTGCCAAATAAGATACATAAATAACCACAGAGAAAGGTAGATTCATATCTGAGTAACAAACTGTTTCACGAAGAAGGAACCGGCTCAATATAATGGCTTAGTAACACAAAATTTAAACGAATGCAAGGACGAACATACTTTCCCAACCTCGGTAAGTTGTAAAAGGCAAAAGACGGGCTAAAGATGTGCATGCAGTGTTTTGTTATTAAAAAAAATTTAAGTCAAAGACTTTCATTCCAAACACCAGTTTAGATATGAATGAGTGAATAAATGGAAAACTAGCTAGCAAAAACTTAGAACATTGATTTTCAATTACGACTACTTACTTAAGTGCTTAGGTATATTTAAAAAAAATGGTATCTTTTATCACACACATAATTTATAGCGTTTTGTCATCACAATTGTAATAGCAACCTAAAAACTATAGCCTTACAACCTCTCCATAAGAGACAATAAGACCTACTATCGTAAGTAAAACAATTATGTAAACTCAATACATTTCTTACGTGGTCCCATAAAAAGGTAACTTTCATTGTTCATCCGTATCCGAGTCGTGTTCTTGCGTGTTACGTTTTATTATCAAGCGAGGAGAATAAGTAATTCTTAGCTAAGTAGGTTGGTATGTAAAGTGATCGCATTTTTGTTTTGGACTAAAAACGGGGTCTTTGTTTGAGGTGACGGAGGGCAGAAATGTGATCATCCCTCTACGAAAGGAGGAGTTTGCTATAATCTGCTAACTCAGCAAGAATTTTGGAGATAGGAGTTTAAAAGTAAATTCATTGTTAGATTTATCAGAGAGCGCTGTTGTCCGATTTCTCTTAAATATGTAGTCCAGTACTCAGGCACTAGATTCCCTAGTCTTTCCCGTCATAAAAAAGGTACCTACCTTAATTAACTAAAATCACTGTGAGTTGTGCGACGCGACTCATCAGGAAGAACCCCTCTGTGGTTCGAAACGAGCTTTTCTCAGTGATTCACGTGAGTAATCCGGGATTTTAGTTAATTTAGTATGTCTCACGATAGTTATTAAAGAATCAGAATAAACGCATTGTACTATGTAGTAATTCCCTCAGTGCGTGGAGATATTTCCTCTTGCAACAGTGTGGAGGCCGTTTGTGCGGTGGCGCCATGTAGTCTTCCCAAGATGTCGTCAAAGGAAGTTGCTCTTTTAGCAACATCCGTATACGCTCGTGGTAATTAAGGCAACATTCTTGTTGAGATTGTATTGTTAAAATAGGTAAAAAGTAAGTCAAAACGGAGTCTTAAAGTTAAGGCTATAGCTCAATATGTTTAGGTACCTTAAGAACTTAATAGATTCTAAGCATCCAAGCTAAGCAATTCTTGACATAGAGGTGATATTAAACAGTCTATAAATACTTGACATGAATAATAAAGGTGGTTCTGCACCAAGAGGCGCTTAGCTGAATAGGCATCTATGTATTTTGTTGGATTCTGAAATTCGTATTACATAATTGATGGGGATGATTCTCAATTATTGCAACAAACACACTCAACCCAATGGATGAGAAAGGGAGTAAAAGTAGCAAAATACCATAGCTTTTAATCGTTAACTACCCTTCAAAATATTTAGCCATATATTGCAGGTGCTTCAAAATCAGAAAACACGATAGACCATTGACCAAGGTATTCAGTAAAAGTGATCACTCACTGAACAGTGCATTCCTATTGGTTGCAACATGAGTTAATGACAAAGTTGCGTTGCGGTACCTACTCTTGATGATAACTATGCATTAGCAACTTGTTAGGTTTACGCATAGATTAGTAGAATATGTTTGCAAATAAGACGTTAATAGTACCTAAATAGAGCTATTTATATTGCTAAATCGAAAGTAGAAATTGGTTTAATATGCAGATCTAAGATTAGATATGAATACTTCGATATTAACCTAACGTCATATCTCTTAATTCCCTAAGCCCCCGACGCGACGTCAGGGAAATAAAATTACTTTATTTTCAAACTTAGCCTCACACTATCATACTAGGGACGCTCCGGAGTAAGGTACTCGTGTAAACGTAGGTACGTTTAAATACGCAAATTTTATTTAAGTAGATCACCCACACTAGACTGATCAAGAATATCTAACAATTGTAGATTTGTAGAATAAGTGTGGGAGAAGTGCTTCGGCACGAATGGGCCGGCTCGACCGGAGTGATACCATGGCCTGACAGAAGATCGACGTGAAACAACGCTTGCGTAGTGTTTCGTCGTGTGACTAATTACCCCACCCTCCTCAATCCCTGAATCCCCAACGTTCCTCAAATTCCTAATCCCAAAAGACCGGTAATGCACTTGTAACGCCTTTGGTGTTCCAGGTGTCCATGGGCGAAGCTGATTGCTTACCATCAGGTGATCGGTCACCTCGTTTACCGGCTTATCCCATGAAAAAAGACAAAATTGTTCAGCGTGGGATTATCAAAAATGCGACAAGTTTCATAGCAGCCAGTTATAAAGCCACTGCTATACCAGCGTAGTCATGGAAGTAATAAAATGATTTCAATTTGGGAGCAAAGTAAAAGTGTTACGCTTAAAACATTAATTGCCTATATTACATACGAACGTAGAACGCACGGTTTAATACCACGAGAAGATAATGTTGATACGAATCAGTAAACATAACCGTAATATACTTAGATATTTATTATCATACCTTTTATACCACGAAGGATCAGCCAGAAATCTACCTACATTATTATGTATTCAATTAAAAATTCACCTTCTTCCAGCTATGTTATGTAAAAGGGCATTAAAATTTGTAAACACTAGAACTATAGATTTTTTGATGAACTTAAATCTGCTCGATAATTACTTTTTACCCGACCTTGGGATCGAACTCAAGGCTGAGGGGCCGAAACCATTATCTAAGGATGGCGGTCTGAGATCGATTAATCGAAGAATCGATCTTTTGGAGCAAAAATATCGATCTTTTTGATCGATCCTATGTATTGAATCGATCTCAGACAATTTAAGATCGAGATACGGTTTTTCCTGTCTTAGTTGACCATACAATTAGTTGAAAGCCCGTATTACAAGAGAGTTGCCCGTTAATACTCAAAAACTCGCGAGATTGCTGTATGTTTAGTCTCCTTTGCCTCACTTCTCATCAATAAAATAAAGTTACGTATAAAATTTTTGACTTATTGCATTGTATCTCTGTACCTACTGTGATTGATTTGACATAGCATCATCAAACAATAACAATACTAGGTAATACAAATAAGGTTCCTAAAATTACTGGTTGATAAAAAAACTAAAAATAAATATAAAAATGACTACTATAAATTATTTAAAATCTGTAAAGTATTACCGGTCAGACTTAAACATAAATACATTCTCGCAACCAATAACCACAGCAAGCAGGAACATAATCCACCAATGATAACAGTTTGTAATAAACACAACACCCGATCGATGTCGTCTGGTAAATATGAGGTACCAAGGGTTAATAATGTTTATGGTGATCGATCAATGAAAAAGCGTATCCCGTACTTACTCAACCATTTGCCAAACGAAGTCAGGGAAGAGAAAAATAAAAATAAATTCAAGACTAAATTAAAAAAATATCTGTTTAGCACACTACCATAACCACATGTATTTAAAATTAATCATAACCATAACCATTATCATAGTAAACTACAAATACCTACTAAATAGTAATTTAAATATAGAAGATCCAACAGTCAAACTATTTACATATAGTTTTGTTGGACATGGCGTTAGATTATAAGGCATACCATGTACCTTTATTATTAATAAATAAATAAATAAATAATAAAAAAAAAATTTAATATCGCATACTGATTATACTGATTAAAAGATCGTTAGTTCTAATATTTCTCAAGTTTTTATAAATTTGATTTATATTAACATTGGAAAACTAATTTGAAAAAAGATAGATTTTCTAGAAATTATTGTTTTAGACCTCAATTTTTTTGTGGATCGATTCAAATCGATTTAATAATCGGTCTTTTCCGGTAAGAATCGCTATCCCTACCATAATCGCATTATTATAAAAATCTCACTTTAAGTACTTAGTAAATTGTGCCTTTACGGCCGCCTTCTTTGACCATAGACAAATATAGTCTCTGATTAACTGTGATACCTACAAGGCCAAACTACGGTGGCCAGAAGGTCAACCTATCCTTTTCTGCAAAATTTGTCTATCACATCTTCAGCTTTAACTTATTGATATAAAGTCGAAAATGCAATGAATAAATTTTGCAGAATTTGATCTGCTGGCCATTGTACCTAAAATACCTAGCTTCCTGCCCGTGTTACCAAGTTAACTCTGTCTATAAATTATTAGATATCAATTTTAACCCACGGAACAATTTATGTAATATCTGTCCTACAAGTTACAAATAAACCATAATCTTTCTTATCATTATAGTGATCAGAATCTAAGGAACTTTCTTTAATTTATGACCTAATTGATTCCAAACTAAAATTAAGGGAACGAAAAAATAAATAAAAATTCAAGCTTTGCTGCAGTGGCGCCACCCCGCTCTCACTAATATTTCAAAGTACCTAACAATGAGCAGTTTCGATCTACATATCTATAAAACAACATTTGTGTAAACTAACATAATTGTAATTAACTTCACTATAATAATATTTGTAAAAGTTATTTGAAGAAATTAAATAAACGTTTTCGCAACTTGCTACATAACGAAATGTTTCCGAACGACAAAAATGTCCTACCAATCACAGGCCAGTGGAAGACACTTTCATTTGTAACGTCTTGAATTTTGAAAACAAACGTTCAAGACTCGTTAGATTTCGGATTCATGTTGGTAGTTATTTTAGAAAAATTGAGTTTTATTAGTGATTTGTAATACAGACACAATTTAGACATTTATTGTGAACTTATGTGTGTTCTATTAAAAGGAAAACAGTGAGAACTCAAGGCAAAATGATTACGTTAACCGAAGATGTCAACAAGCTATTGTAAGTTTGATTTTTTATACAACGAATGTGTTTGAATAAATTTCTATAAGTGTTTTAGCGCAATATTTTCGATATAAATCCTCTAATTTATGTTTGTAGTTGTAATTTTACGATTTTTACTTAAAATACCACACAATTCAGGAGGCGTCAGGTTTCCTGGTTGTCTTCCGTTACGCATTGATTTCAAACGGTTATGCATACAAACATCTATTAATACTCTTAAACTACACTATAATCTTTTATGTTTATCGTTCTTACTTATGGTGTGTAACCTATTATTGGATGTTTACATGCTGGGATTTTGTCAAGTATCCAAATCATTTGAAATAGGTAGTTGATTACTCTTAAGAATTTCAAATGTATGCATAATGATGCGTTCTTGTCTGATATAATCGGACATTGTTTCAATAATAAAAGACATTTCATTAATCTCAAATTGACAAGGAAATAGACAAGTTACATACATGATTATTACACCAATACAAATACTTTGAGATAATCAATAATTAATTAACAATAGGTATCTACAGAAATACTTCAAATTACTCTTCATCATTGAAGAATTTGTTGAAATATCCAAAATATTAAGCAATGATTAACAATTTATGAAACAAAACCATCATAAATATAATAAATTCTTCATGTAAAATACCCTTATATCATCACTATATAACACAAAGCTACTATCCTGACATCTACTATAGTTTCAGATAATACACATCCATATTCTCTTTTACAGCAATGAAGTCCTGGTGGAGATATCCCAGAATGTCCGCTCAATGATGGAGGAGCTCTGGCTGAACTGGTCACATCTTGGCGTCGATGACAACACCAAAGTGAACAACATCACAAAGCTGGTGCAGATAGAGAAGGAACTCCATAGAGATGTCATCTCGGAGACCAGACAGAAGCTCAAAACTATGCAAGGACAAGTTGACAGTAAGTTTTTACCGACTTCAATTTTTTTTGGAGGTACTATGTTCGGCTGATTGTTTTTTTTTTTTTGTTTTTTTTTTGTTTGTTCGCGCAGTACTCCGCCGTTTGTGAACCGATTTCCAAAATTCTTGTTTTGTTTGAAAGGGTATACTCCCGAGATGGTCCCATTTCCATGAGGTCAGGATCTGGTGATGGGATCCTAGGGAAACCGAGGGGAACTTTCGAAAATTCTATGGGCGAGTAATGCGTCTATTATATTTTTCAATTAGGATTTTGAAACACTACAATTTGATAAGGGTCTGGAGTTGACCTGATGATGGAGCCGACAGGCAGTCGAGGGAACTCCTCAGCGGTTTATATTAACTACCTTGAGTTTGGGCTTGATTAATTTGGATTGATGAGGACTTTACACCTAAATAGAGTAGGGCTGTCATTAAGGATCTGATGATGAAGAAGTGTAATTGTTAAAGGAACTCCTTAACGGTATACAGTAACTACCTTGTGTTTGGGCTTGATTAATTTGTATTGATTAGAACTTTGCACCTATGTAGATTATAAGTAACAAAACGGGTATATGTAGCTTTACACTGAAAATGATAAAATAATAAAATAAAAACTGCGTTTAAAAAACCGACTTCAAAAAAACCAAAAACTAATAACAAACAAAAAGTCAAAACTAAAAAGCAAAAAATAACTATGATTAGTACTGATAGATTACCCACCCACTGATAGGTAAGAAGTCGGTGCCATAAGTTCCATACAAAATTATTCATTAAAACCTTAATAGGTACCTAATTCACATTTATGTGGACATTAAGTTATATCATTATGATATGATCTTATGGCACCGACTTCTAACCTATCAGTGGGTGGGTAATCTATCAGTACTAATCATAGTTATTTTTTGCTTTTTAGTTTTGACTTTTTGTTTGTTATTAGTTTTTGTAGACTTGTTATGCTAATGAGATGTTGTAAAATTGTAAAAGTCCATTTATTTTGAGCTTTATGTGTTAGATCTTAGGGGAATATGAGATTAACTTAATCCTTTATATTTGTATTGTAACATTTGTAACACAGCTTTTATCTGCACAATATGTTGTTAAGAAATGCAGTGTTAGTATTGTACTTGTTTTAACACCATAACATCACACCTTTTTTCCCTGAAGGGGTAGTCAGACGTGCACATTATGGCACTTCATGCCACTACAATGTAGCACTCACTTTTCACTATTTATGTTATGAGTCCCATGTAATAGGGGGTGAGCCTCTTGATTAGCTTGTTATGGGTAATACTTTAATTAGGTATACTTAATTATTTGAATGTTTATGTTTTATGCAATTTCAAATCTGATAAGTTCACATAGTTAATAGAAATGGCTTGCCAACTACAATTAATCTTAGATTAAGTAACTAAATAGTAGAACTAGTAACCAATTATTACTTTTTATTCAACAGAACTCAAAGAAGAGACAGAAGAGTTGAGTAGATGTTTATCTGTTGATATCACCATCCTGGACTTCAAGGAAGACATGATGCTGGTTGAATATAAGAGGGAACTGGAAGAACAGATTGCTGGGTAAGTTATTCATATTATTGATATGTCATGGGTAATAAAAGTGTCTGCAAAACATTGTCTTTAAAAATAATGACAAAGTTTAAAGTGTGTAACTATTTTATAATGGCTTTTTAGCTACCCACGGCTAGGCCCGCGTATTCCTGTTTTATCCCAAGGAAGCATTTAATTGGGATAAAAGTCCTATCCTATCACCTAAGTAACCCCATACCCTGTATGCCAAATTTTTATTGAAATCCGATCAGTAATTTCAGTGTGACTGATGGATAACATCCAAACAAAGAAAATTTCACATTTATAATATTTGTGTGATTATTAAACTGTATTACTTACATATAACTAATTATTAAATAATATATACATACCTAGTTAACAAAATAGTTTAGCTACCTTTAGACCTTGTTAACTATTTAATGTTAACAATTACTTTCTATAAATAAACATATTTTTATAAGCATGATATGATAACACATCTTAATTTCTTTAGATTGCTGTCTGAAGTCTTTCAACACTTAGCTCACATCTTCCCTGTTCACAGCTCATTATAAATTACAGTTCTCACTATTGACTTCTCTAATTGCTGAAGGATAAGGCAATTTTATAATTACCTTAAGTATGATTTTGTAAGTCTTGTGACATGACCTGACATGAGATAGATTATTTGTTAGTGCATCTTTCTTATGACCTTATGTCATCTCTGTTATCTCTTCATATGAGAACACTGTTGCTTTGTGGCTTGCTGTAGCTGCTTACATTTTATTGCTTCATTGGGTTAGTTGACACCGTTACTTCTAGTAGATGTGTGACTACTATGAAGTATGATTACTTTATATGATTATTCCAGTAATGGTGTCCAAATTATTGACACTTAAAGTAAATACACATGTAACTTCAACTAGCCCAATATTTTACCTTATCTTCCGGAAACAACTTCACATATTTATAGTTTTGTAAGCAACACTTTTGTGTCAGTTAAACAGATAATTACAAAACAAACTTACATTAATAAAAAGTCACACCTTTTCATTGTTGTTAAATACTAAAGACAACACATTATGTGATGTAGTTTCCGCAAACATTAGTCACAATAACCAAATAAATATTATCCAATAACCAAACAAAAATGCACCTTATTCTATCAGGTATAGAGAACAAGTAGAACAACGTCGTATGAAGATGGAGAGGCTATTGGAATGGCAGCGGGACTTGGCTGATAAACTTGGAGTCACCATCCAGGAGTTGCAAGAAGTCCCACTTCCCGCTGAGGAGGAACTGGACAAGCTGAAGGAACACTTGGAAATGCTTCAAGCGGAGAGGGATAAGAGAGCAGAGACCTTCTTGAACATTCAAGTTGAGATTAAGGATATTATGGGTGAGTTTAGTTTGAAGATTTATGTACAATTGTATTTACACAATAAATGGTTAAGTAGGTAAACATTGGTTTTGTTGTGTAGCTAATCAATTATTATTGTCTATTTATGCCCTGATTATTGTCTGTTATTTCGTTGTGATAACTTCTAACAATTTATTCTCTACTAACTGTTGCCTGCTACTTCGTCTGCATAGAATTTTAGAACATAGCTTCTTTTTTGTTTCAATTGTCCAAAATAAATGTAACCTATGTTACTCCTTAGTACATCAGCTACCTGCCAATAAAAGTCTTGCAAAATAGGTTCAGCCATTCCAGAGATTAGCCAGTACAAACAGACAGACAGACAAAAAAAATGTTAGCTTGGTATGTGTATTGTACATATATTCACATGCATGTGGTAAAAAGCGGTTATTTTAATATTACAAACAGACACTCAAGTTAAATTTATATGTATAGATTTCATCAGTTAGTAATAAGTTTGTGCAAAGAAATAAAATTATACCAAATCTTTTATAACATTTAAATATTGAACTTTTCTATAATTAACAAAGCACTTTAACCTTAGTTATTATTTTAATTCAATTAATAATTATCTCGAGATTAGTAGGTCATTACCATTTCAACTGATAATGTTATACAACTTACATTTTTCTGTATTGTATGAATGAAAGTTTTAAAACTACATTTCGTATTTAAAACTATAATTTTGTTTGTTTCAGACAAACTCCGCATCAAACCACAGAACAAGTTTGAACATATTGTGACATCATCTCTATCTGTGGACTTCAAAGTGACTGACCTGAACATGGACCGACTCGCCAAGCTCCAGCAAGACTTGCAAGAGAAATATGAACAGACTAATAACAGGGTAAGTAATTGACCATATAATATGTCGATGTGTTATTGTTTTTTCTTATAATAACTATCGTCGTATGTCTCACATACTAAATTAACTAAAAATCGCCGGTTAGTCATGTGAATATACCGAGAAAAGCTCTACTAGTTTCGAACCATAGAGGGGTTCTTCCTCATGAGCAGCGTGCGCGGTCGCGGCGATGTCGCGCAACCTACTTTATTTTTATTTTGTTTAGATTATTATATTGTTTAGAATTTTAGATTATAACCACTTCTAATTTTCCAATTCACTTTTATTCAAATATTAATTTCGAGCGAACGATTTCGTCTATCACAAAATATTAATGTGTTCTATAGGATTTTAACAGAACTGGCATTAGTCACATTTTAAACATTGAATACATAAAAGAAATACGATTTGACGCCAGCCTTTGATCTCATACCTATGTAGGTAATATTTCCACTTAATTTTCAATTAAATTATTAAATAAAATTTATCAATATTAGGTATTGGAGCTTCGTGAGCGTCTCACTAAACTCTGGGAATGCCTCGATGAAGATCAGATTTACCGCGAAAACTTCTTGCACGCACATCCTGGTTGCCACCCACAGACCGAAGCCGCCATCAAAGAGGAGATCAAACGCTGCGATCAAATCAAACGGCAGAAGATTCAGGTATGTGTAAATGATTGGTATTTTATAGAACGTGTAGGTCAATGGTAATTTCAATTCATGTTAGAAGTGTTCCACTATATTGGACACCGTTAGAGATTGTGTAGAACTAAAGTATCATTTTGCTGTTGTTTTTGTTCTATTTTAAACTTCAAAGGTTTTTACAATTATGATTGAAAGATGTTACAATACATAAAGGCTCATTCATACTTACTTTCTTATTGTATCAAGAAATTATTAACTCCATACACATTATGCTTGATTTAATAGCTAAAGAAAATAAATTGATATCTGAACTACCTAGTACTGTAAATTCAAGATTGGTACATTTCACTGATCTGATAGCCTACATTATGGACGGAATCTATCTAAATATTGATAGTTTGTTGCAGTTACACAGTAACTAGTTGTCACACAGGAACTGTTGTAACTCTAATAGGGCCTGTTTCTTTCAACATTAATATGATGACTGTGATAAATTCTCATAGTTGCTATGACTTGAATGCGCTTGCTTTATGTATCATTTGTAATTATTGGATATCAATGGTATTATTAAATTATGTATGTTTATTGCGAGTAACAAAAATAATTGGCGAAAAAGTTGGTTTCGGTATCAGTAATATAATACATAAAATCACGCCTGTCGAATTCCGAATGATTAGACAAAGGTGAAATACATAGCAACAGCCCATTTCGCAGTATAAGAACTTTAATTACTCCCTATTACATGGGACTCCTAACATAATTAGTGAAAAGTGGGTGTTACAATGTACAGCGGCATTAAGTGTTGTAATGTGCACCTCTGCCTAACCCTTTGGGGGTAAAAGGTGTGATGTTATGTTAAGAGCTTTATTACCAAGAATGTCAAAATTCTGAAAAGTCTATAAAAAGTTAATAAACTAAGTAGCTGTAAGTTTAGGTACTTCGCTCGATAGTCTACCTGCACACTCATCACGCATGCGACCAGACAAATAGTCTAGTAAGGATAGTATAGTAGGCATAGGCAGTTATTTTAGGGACACCAAAACCCCAGTTTCGAAAACGCGAAAGTTTAATTTGTTTGCTCTCGTTTATTTTAAACTAGCTTTTTAATCGAAATGCAATTAGTATTGCAATATGGTATGCGAAAACGTAATGTAACTAGTCGTTTTGCATCGCTGAATAATAAATCGGTTTACTTTCACGCGGACTAGTATTGATAGATATCGATCAAACTGTTTAGATGTCGTATTAATTGTTACATAGATACATTGAGTACATTGCCCTAATTAAAGTTGTATAAGCCTATTAAGATTGTTATTACATAAAATCAATTATTAGGTACTTAGTTCCTGTTTGAACCAATAGTACATTATATCGTAGTACCAATTATTTATTATTGCCCACAACATTCACAAATTATCCTAACCAACTAAAGGTTAGGCAAAATAACTTTTTTTATATTTTATTTTCGTATATCTAGAAATATTTTGAGGACTCATAATAATGACGCCTTAAAATTTTCAGAATTTTGTCACCCGTAATTCGCCTATTGCTGTATGCTATCAGGTGACAATAATCATAATTTTAATTAGGCAGCAGCATTTAGTTTTATATCTTCAGATTTCATAATGAGTCTAACTGGGCCAGGATATTGGATGTTGGCCTCCCATCCTTCTGTTTTCGTTCGTTAGGTAATATTCTCATGAACGAACTGCTAGACCCCTAGACGACCCGCAATTCCCACGTGTAGTCAAATTATTGTATGAAGACATCGAAACGTTTTAATTGTGTGCAATAGTCGACTCTCACACTTTATTCTAAGTACCATTTTCCTTTACCCAGGTGTTCGTGGCGAATGTGCGCACTAAGATAAAGTTGATGTGGGACAGTGTGATGTATTCGAGCCGTGAACGCGAAGAATTTGTGCACTACTACCAAGACATCTTTACTGAAGACACTTTGACCTTACACGAACTTTATTTGGAGAAGATCACCAAGTATTATAATGATCATAAGTAAGTAATATTATTATCTTTTATTCTTTTACACGTCATTTCCATCAAAGATCACCCACAGTATAGAAAATGCCATACTTTTTGCTCTCAATCATTGGCTATTTAGTCAAATCTTATCCTCATAAGTTTGAAGTATGTGAAACTAAATGAAATCAGGAATACAGGTGCTAAACAAATGGGTAGACATTGGTAGTTTATGTTAATACTCTTGTTAGAGTTACATATAACAATATTATTGGCTAGGTTCATCATTGAAAATTTTCAATTATACACATCCTCACAATACTACCTTTTATTTCTAGGCACATTTTCGAGCTGGTGGTAACACGTAAGAACCTTTGGCTGAAGATGACTGAGCTCGAGGCTAGAGCTACGGAGCCGGGTCGTTATCACAACCGAGGAGGGCAACTACTGCGCGAAGAGAAAGAGAGGAAGGCCATCGCAAGCAACGTTAGTTATAAAAAAAAAGATTCTAACGATTTTTGACGGGAAATATCCCGACTAGTAAATGTGTATTAAACAGCCCTATGGCGGTAGGCAGAAAATACAGAACGCCGCCTATTCACCAGTGAATATTTATGTACATCAAATAAATTATTTTTTAAATAGGTACTATTCTTTAACACATTGGCTGCCGTGTCGGACAATGTTGTCCGACGCTAGCGGAGGATTACCCTGTAACAGTTTTTGTCGGCAGTTAAAGGCTTAAAGGCATAAAAATACATTAATATGCCACTTACTAATTGTAATAAACTATGATCTTAATGAGTATATTTTTTTAGCTTTATAACAATGAAATATTTATTTTACAGTTACCGAAGATTGAGGCACAAATCCGTGAACTAGTGTCTGAATATGAAGCTAAGACTGGTAACATCTTCACTGTCGATGGCAAACCTCTTCTGCAGCTTATGGAAGACGAATGGGAGACGAGGAAGGCTGTAAGTGTACTTATTATACCTTTTATAACTTATGCGTTAACAGATAGAATAGAGAACCAATGGCTTTAAGGCTTGATGTGTTGTAGGGTAGCCACCGTAACTAGGCAAACATTTCATAGGGCGGCAGGGAGTTACTATATACGCCAGCTAAAAGCTGTAGACTGAGCTCAGTGATTTGTTATTGTATAGACCTATGTCCAGCATTGTATGGTAAACCTCAATATGTGCTTCTCTATTTCAAAATAGATTAAGTCATGTATTTTAGAATCTTAGTACCATTTTGAATTGAAATTACTATTTTATTTCAGTGGATTGAACTAAACTCAACCTTATTGAAAAAAACATAAATATAATTTTTGAAGTTTGATGTCTTTGTGTTGGCTCGCATAGTCACAATTCCCTAAAGTGCACATTTGCAATGTAAATTCTTTCTGAATAAAATATTTACCATTTATTTTGGTTTGATTACATAACTTGAAATGCCTTGTATATCCCGAAAGGGTGGGCAGAAATGTAATAGGGCCATCAGTTTTGATTCTGTACTACTGAGAATTTTCTAATGCCAGTAATTCAAAACCCTACATACCATTCGATCTCAGAATCTAAATGAATTAAGTTCAGGTACTTGACAGTTACCAATTCGGCCAACAAGGCAATAAGAACAAGATTACCTTTGTGTATAGTAATATATGCCAAGACATTGCATAGACAATTTATATCTACACATAAGATAGTATAAAATTTAAGACTTCAACCATGTTTTACCTTTCGTAATTTTACTAGCTACTCCCGCGTGTTTTCACCCTCTCTGCTCGGCTTCTATTGATCGTAGTGTGATGTCTTATAGCCTATAGCCTTCCTCGATAAATGGATCCAACACAAAGAGAATTTTCCAAATCGGACCCGTAGTTACTGAGATTAAATACCGAGTTCAAACAAACAAACAAACTTTTAAGCTTTATAGAATAGTATTAAATATTCAATAAATAACATCAAAACAAATCAAAAACATCCATACATCAATAAACTAAAGGTCCGTTTTTATTAACGCCTGACTTTCCACAGGAGCGTCACAACAAGCTGTCAGCCCGCAAGCAGGCGCTGACGCCGACGACGCCACTGTTCCGGTCGCTGGCCACATCACCGCTCGGGAAACGGAACAGGACTGCCGCGGGACTCGCTGCTACTGCTGAAAGAAACAGGTATGGAATTGGTTGGTTGTGGTGATGGTATTGTGTTTGATTTTGTATATTGTACATGCAAAAGGCATGCAATAACAAATGCATACAACAAAAGGAGAGTCAGTGAAATGAAGAAGTCGTTTTGTAATTTGTTGTAACTTCTTTTTAACCGACTTCAAAAAAAGGAGGAGGACGACTTCTAACCTATCAGTGGGTGTGTAAGCTATAATACTTAGTTATTTTTTTCCTTTTTTTAGTTTTTACTTTTCGTTAGTCTTTCCTTTTTGAAGTCGGTTTTTTGGGGATTCTCGATCAGTTAGAATATTTGATTGTATCTTTCTTTCTGGCTATAGACTCTATCTTTTTCTACCCTTCCTTTGACTTCTATCCTTCAGATTTACATGCGAATACTGAATAGCTACTCAATTTTAAGTTGTACTTGAATATCGTTCCATCTCTGTCATTTTACAAAGAATTTGTAGTGACAGTGACCTACAGAACTTAACTCCGAACTTAGAATTGAGTAACGTTTGAGTATTTCGACATTAATCACATACAAACTCTTGAAAGATAACAAGATCTTTCCCTCTTTTCATAATTAATATTGTTTATTTATTAAACTGTCAATTATACATCTACCTACAAATGTTTTGACTTTTTATTGTGAAAATATGAAGCTATTTCCTTCACATGTCTGCCTAAAACATGCACTAGAATGTGTATTGTGTAATTAATAAGAAATACTTTAAGGCCTAAAGATATTTTTCTACATTATTACAGCAATTAGTATTTTTGTATGCCATCGTTATAATTAGTATTAGAAATAAGCATAGTAGCATTGATTATAAGCAGGTCGTTTGAATTTGTAGGCCGCCGTCCAAGCGACAGTTGATCACAGGCAGTGCTACTAAAGCGGTGACTACCTTCACCAACAACTTGTCAGCGCTCAAGAGATCTGCTATCACTACTGTTAAAAGGTAATGTGGTATAATACTTTATGAAACATTGGAACAAATGAATATGACTCGTTGTTGTCATAAGATTAGTTCGCTTATTTTAACACAGCCACTGTTAAACTTGCACTTCATAGTTTAGTACATATTGGTGAAGTGAAGAGTTAAAATCTTATAATGACTTTGCCTTATTAAATCAAATTTTTGTTGAAGTCGCGTAGTACAAGTTCGCCTTAGTAACTCAATAATTCATGATTTTGTTCATTTGTAAGAAAATTGCTTTCGTAACATTATAAAGTTGGGTAAGTTATGTAATAACTCTTTGGATAACTCTAGATAAAATCTCTTTACACTAATGAGTTTTATTCTCAATTTAAAAGGTTGCAATCGCTTCACAGATTATATAAAAAAAGTAATGTAAACAGTACTATTTATCGTCATAAAAAAGTTATTGGCGTTGTTCGCTTTTTTATCATAAAAACACTGAATAGTTACAACACGCACTTGTTATTTAGATAATATTTTTCATTCCTTTACAATTTCAGTGCGCGCTTGTGAATTAATTGATGTGAAAACAACTTTACGTCATAATTGTTGAGGCAAGTTTTCTTTGATTGATGATGAGTAGCCATTGAACGAGAATATTTTGAATTTATATAAGTAGAGGGAATGAGAAATATTGTATCAAGGTGCTAATAGAACTGAGCATTCATTTGTAACAAAAGTACAAAATATCGAGTATTTGTCATTTTTTATTGAACTGAGCTAGGAGCTAAGCCAAGCACAGATCCAATCATTGCTCGAACATTCTCATGAGCACTTTAGTGAACATTCTAGTATTTACTGTTCTTCGCTACAATGCTCGTCAAAATACATAATAGAATGCTCCCTACCCATTATCACCAGCCGGAAAACGTCCACTGCTGGACAAAGGCCTCCCCTTAGTCCTCTTTAACACGCTCTCGTTATTTCCCGGTCATGTTATATTTGCAAGAATGCTCATTAAAAGTGAAGTGTTCAAGTTTATCAGCACCTTTAAGTATAGATTTATGTAACATTTTCTTTAAATATGTAGATAAGTTACCTCGTAGTTATGATGCTTCATTGTACAGCATGAAGTAATTAGAGTATTCGAATAAGTAAATTATGTTGTAGATTGTAGCGAATAGATTTTGCGTTCGCCGTCATTTCGTATTGTAGCGACGAGTTGTGGTCTCATTGTTAAGAAAGATTGATTATGTACATTAAAATTGATTTGGCAACTAAAATAAATACATAATAACGTCTGGCTATCTCGTGTTACGTATTGGAATTGTCGCCTAAATAATTATAAAATTCTGATATTTATGAGTTGAATTAATAGGTTCAAATAAAATAGTAGTTTTTTTCCGTGTTATGTAAATCTGTCAATTGCCTTCAAATCTCAAAAAATCAAGTTGATTTGGTAACAATTGTCATATCAAAGAAAATGTAATAAAGTATACATTACAATTGAACATTCTATTCTTATTATATTACTGAAATTAATATTTGAATTAACAGGCGTATCAGCGGCCGTTTGGCGGCTAGAGCTGTCGCGGAGGGCAAGGATGCCAAGAGGAAGCTGGACTACGGAGGGGAGCTCAGGAAGACACCTAAAGTCAATGGCAGCATTCTCAAACATAAGCGTACGGTAAGTAATAATAAGATATAAAATAAATATAGATAATCATCATCAGAGTCTTAACGTTCACTATACTGGACTGCTTCTTAAAGAGTACGCTACTCAGTTCGATCTTTCGGTCTTCACACTACGGTCAGCCATTGCAGATATTGTCATTTCATCTAGCTGAAAGGTGTCTTAAATACACTATACTCGATTCGTGTAAAGGTCGACCGTCAGACAATGCCCAAGGCATTAAGTCCACCTGTACATGTGTTTGTTTTTGTACTAAGTCTAAATAAATAAATAAAATATACTTGTACATATTTGCCTGCCTCGTTGACCGAATGGTCGTAAATGCGACTGCCTGGCAAGGGGGTCTCGGGTTCGATTCCCGGGTCGGGCAAAGTATTACTGGGTTTGTGCCCGGTATATGGCAATAGGCTCACCCCCTATTACATGGACTCATGACATAAATAGTGAAAACTGGGTGGTACATTGTACAGTGGTATAATGTGCACCTTTGCCTACCCTTTCGGGGATAAAAGGCGTGATGTTATGTTATGTGTGTTACTTGTATCTACATATAAAACTTCTGTTTATGTGCAGTCTCTGCCAATCTATTCGAGGAATGAAAGGGGGTGATATTACGTTATGTTATTTAATTTCCTGAGTAATCTATAAAACTTGCGTGCTAGCTACTTTGCATAACTAATTGTAGGTGTTATATCGCATCTTGGTTAATGAGGTTTGCGTCGGTAAAACAAACGTTCTTTTTTTAAATTCGTTCAAGTAATTGTAAATTTAAAATAATATTAGGTATGTCTGTAATACAAACTAATACTCGATACTGTTCTCAAAAATAATTGGTGTGTTTCTATCTATGCAGTCGCACGGTAAGCGTCACAGCTCCAGTCGCCGTTCGATTAACGCGACGCGCTCGACTGGCTCACAGGAGGAGGAGAGAGTCGCCAACAAGGATCCTCTCATGGAAACCACACTCCTCACTACTTATACAGACTTTAAGGTCAGTACTAGAACAATGAACTTTACCTTTATTTACATTTCTATAGCAACGAAGCCTCCGAACTTAGAAGTGGCTGATCTAAAAGTCTAAAATATATATCTCTTGTTAAGATTACTCTAAATTTCTGTCTTCGTGTTACAGGACGGAATCAACGAAAAGCAGATCAGCCGCAGTTCAATGGCGAACCAGAGACCGAACGAGCCTATCCTACCAACTATCGTCTACCACACGATCGACGAAAGGAATGGCACCCCTAAAAAAACTCCTCGAGTCAAAACTCCTTTGACGCCTAAAGTAGGAAAGGAGAATATACAACATGTGAACGCAGCTACTCCTAAGAGTAATCTATTGTACACGCCGACTAGACTCACTAGGTCAGCCCTCAAGCTTAACAACGATGGCTTCGCAACTCCCCGAGCTCCTCTCAGCGCAAACAAAGTCAACCTTCAAAGACAGAACACAGTCGCCAGTTTAACGGTCAAAACTACCCCCAACAACGTTAGCAGGTCTAAATCCCACTCGCATTTAGTACGAGCGAAAAATCTCCCGCCTCTTATCTAAGCACTTTAGACTGAGTACATTATTTAGATCTTGATGTAAATGTTTGGTTTGTTTTTTTAAATATTTTATTATTTTTTCGCATTTATATCAAGGTGTATGCATTGTGCCTTACAATAGTAGCCATGATTTTTCTTGTAATTATAAATTTATCCAGATTTTTAATACAATTTTTATTATTGTGTGTTGTTCATGGTTTGACTCAAGTTTTATGACGTATTGCTAGTTTTCACGTTAATAATGATAATGTTTTCTTTATATCCTTGTATATTTGAATCTCTTATAATTATGTGCTGATTCACATTCAATTTTAAGGAGTTGATTATGTTTATAGATGTGATTGATAGATAGTATTTTAATTGATAGTTTTATAAGTTACTTTCAGTTCTTACAAGAGTTATTTTAGTTTTGTCTTCAATTGGAATAATGTTGTTTTAGAGTAGTTTTAGTCTTTTACTAACACTTGGCACATTTTGTTAGACAATATTTCTTGATAATTCTTATGAACAGGACATCGAACATCGATATAATTAAGTATTTTGCGTATGTAGGAACTGCGTGAAACATGTTAACATGGCTGGCAGCTTTAAAATTTCTTAAAAGGTCAACAAGGAGGTTCGCACACCAAGACAGTGTACTTAATTTTGATCAGTATTTCATGATGGGTTCGCAAAAAAGCCATTTCTCATGCTAACATTAATATAAAATGATTACTAATTAATATGCGTCGCTTATTTAACTAATGTATAATTATTAATAATTTTAAAAATGTAAATTATGGTTGTAATATATTTGCATAGTTTAAAACGATAAACGACTTTTTCTCATGACCTACTAGATTACCCGTGTGAATTAACTTGTGACATAATATTAACTTCAAAACACCCCTATTCCTCATACATATAGAATAGTCTTAGAAATATAAAATAATATGTCAATATACTTCGATTATGAAGTGGGGTTTAAGGGTCGAATGTTCAGAAGGGCTGTGGAGACCGATAAGCATGATATTGACTTAATTTGGAAACGAGAACACACTGAAAATCTATTCTACCATGATGATATTGGGTCGTTGATGTAAGTGTCGCTATTAATTTTAATTGGATTTGGGCAAACAAAGTCAAAGAATTTATTTCAATTAAACCATAATTTGGTACTTTTGAAATGTCAACGAATACAAAATAAATAATAATCTGTCAGTCAGACCGTCAGTGAAGCTAGGTGAAGCTAGGTGCTCATTCCAAAATGTAGATTCGAATGGAGAAGAACGAGCAAGAAACTCCATTCGTTACTCTTTTTATTTTAAAAAGGATGTTCTACAATGTCTCTGATACATATTCCAATACTGGAGAACAATGCAAAGAGACGCTTGACGCATTATACTAATTACAATACTTACTAAAATAAAAAAATAAAAATCTTATTGTCTAATATGGTGCTCACATATACATACTGACAATTCATAAAAATAGTGCTTCTGTACAAGAAAAACAATGCTGGAACGCTTTGGTTAGGAGGCTTATTTAAGTGCCTTGGGTGAGGCGAGAGGAAGTATCATGGAACTGACTGTTGAAGGTGAACACACACTCTTCCCCGCGTAGAATCGACCGAATCCAAACTGCGAGGTTTCATGAGATATCATACACAGAAATCTAAAAATCGTTTGGTTCTACGCGTTCGACGTGTTCGGTACGGATAAGTGTGCGTTCACCTTAAAAGAAATAGTGGTCTATCAGAATACGCTCGGTACAGCAGGCTGCTGCGGATCGTGTCGTAAGTTTGAATCAATAATCTTTATGTGATCCTCAAACTTAAATAGAAATGTTCTAGGTTTGGATGTAATGTAAAATTATGGGTTTGTAAATAAATACACACATCGTCGATTAAATGGAAAAATGGCATTTCTCAAATTTTTTGGAAAATAAGATTATTGCATAAAACGAGTCTACTAACAAGATTATTTTATACGTAAAAACGACACTTTAAATAGTTTACGCCAAGTTTACCAGATGTCGCAAGTGTCATTTTGATTATCTGTGGTCATCCGCCATTTTGATTGTAGAAAAGAAAGAAAAAATAAACAATTAAATAACACACTACCTAAATCCCCATATAAATACCTTTTAAATAATATATGACACTTGTATGTAAAAATAACACTTATTGAGAAAAACTAATTTTAATGAAATTAAAAACTTCAAACGTTTATACTGTAAAATTTGTACTTTCTGAATAACGTCATTTTTCTATTTAACCGACGACATGTCAGAAAAATCTTAGCGCGGGATAGTTTTGTTTTGAGAAATATGCCTTTTTCTTTTACTTACTTCACTTTCAGAGAACTTTCAGCCTTATCAATATGTATGGTGGATGAAAACAAAGAAGTGGTCGGATTCATGGCACTCTCTGACTATCCCAATGTACCTGGGTTAGACCCAAATGATTGGGAAAATTGGATCAGGAATTTATACCGGTTGGTAAAAATTAAACCTTATCTTCCAAATTTAAAGTCCTGGATGCTTACTCTCGAAGTCAATCTAAATGTCAATGCAATTTCAATCCAATAAAATCTCAATAATTATTCAAAGTCAAAACTATCCGACCCCTATCATAGCTGTTAAAAATTTAAAATAGCATTCAGAGTACGGTTATAGCCAAACTCAATACCATTTAGTTCATTAAATATCCACGCAATACGGATGCAATGGGCGCTAGTGTTGCAACTCAAGAGTACGAAATTTCACAATACCAATGTCGATCGGAATTGGATTCAAGAGTACCTAAGCCCCCTGTTTTCATTGACACAGTAAAATATCAAAGTTCCGACTATGCTGACTATATCAGTATGTTCTATTTACCATTTTGCAGGAGATACTACCTATCAAGGAACACGCTTTTCATACATTTCATGTGCTGCGCTGACTCCGTGACTGAATTTTTTGTAGAGGAAGCATTGATATCAGTATTTCTAAACGACAGCTACATACAGTACATTGTGCTGGTTGTGCCTCTATTTTGTCCAGATGGTAAGAACTGAAATATTTGTTACCAGCTTTTATTTCATTTATTAAGCTATCACACTAATAATATTATAACTGTGATAGTTTCTTTGTTTTATGCGGGCGAAGTCGCGGGCAACAGCTAGTAGGTAATAACCGTAAGCAGTGGTGAATTAAACTCATATAATTCCATACAGAACTCATTTCAAGATTTGCAACGTTCAGGAAACGTAATATTATAAAATACTTACCAAAGGTTAAGGACGGTGTAGCTGGTAACTATTTATATACGGCATTAAGAAACGATTTCTGTCCGAAGTTGAAGATGCGACGAGCCGTGTAAGTTATTTTATTCTACCTTAGTATTAACATCTAAATGATCACTTTGTCTACCGGGGCTCCGGCTCCAAGCGCAGGAGAAGGAACGGGGTGGTTTTTAGTCAGTAAGAGTCTGATACTCCCTCCCGCCTCACCCAGGCGGGAGCAGTCATTCGATGATGTTCCCCTCTTAAAAACAAATATAAGTGATATTTTATAAAGTACGCCTTCACAAACTGGAACTGTTAACCTATATTATTTTCAACTTTATCTACAATTTGCATAATAAAGTCCACGTGTCCTGATCTATTATTATAACTGTGATAGTTTCTTTGTTGGTATGTTTGTTTGTCAATCATGCTGAAACTACTGAACGGATTTTGATGAAATTTGGTATACAGGGTATGGGCTGACTTAGGTGGTAGGAAATATATAGGAGGACGTTTCATTCCGATTAAATATATATATACGCGGTTAAAAGCTAGTAATTATGATAAAATCCAACTTCAAACACTTACACCATAAAACTATGGCTATGGGGATGTTAATTATGGCTTATAAATTGCGAATGAGAAGTTGACTAGCGGATATCGGAAAGGCTTCCTGTAGTAAATATGTTGTACCAACTTTTGTTGTTGATTTACACTCATCAAATATGACAAGTGCCTAAAGATTTCACATTAGCAATTAATATTATATTTGTCAATGGATCTTAATTTTTCAAAATACCTATCTTTGTTTTTTATAGGGAGGAAGATAATGATGACATTGTCGAAATATTAGACAAGAAGTGTCCACGTCTAAAGGACCTTTATGGCGAATATTATATTAGCGAAATTATTGGCCGCCATCCCGAATTTAATAGAAAAATTATTGTTGCTGATGTAAGCTTACAAATTACTTAATACTTTTGATCACATAGGTAATAAGGTAACCTACTTGCTTAGGTAGATTTTGTTCTCCAGAAGCTCCATAGTTATTTACCTGTGTTTTACCAGTTGAATATGTCAAATGCGGTTGCTGCTGCATAAAAAACCTGCCTGAAGCAGGTTTTTTATGAAGTAAACCGAGCAGACGGATCAGCTGATGATAAGCAATCGCCACCGCCCATGGAAGTCCAAAACACCACAGGTGTTACAAGTGCGTTACCGGCCTTTTGGGAATATAGATTTGAGGATTGTTGGGGATTTGGGGATTGGGGAGACGGGGGAGGGGGGTAACTGGGCCTCAGGTTACCTTACTCACATGACGAAACACAACGCAAGTGGTTTTTCACGTCGGTTTTCTGTAAGGCCGTGGTATCACTCCGGTCTAGCCGGCCCATTCGTGCCTACCGAGTATGGCTCTCCCTCACTTAAAGCTGTCGGCCTGTATTGTTGTACCTATTAGAAAAATTAAAGTACTTATGTTTGATTCTTTTTCTTTCACATCGCTATGATTGTATGGTACCTATGATTTTTGGGTTTGCCTCTCCGACCCCTCTTGGTTGGAGAGTGATGTAGCCGATACAGGATACTTTTTTCCTTTGATCATGTGGTTGACACCGCGGGCTATAGCTAGTATCAATCAATACATTATTGCGAGAAGCGCGACAAACAGAACTGTGGACAAAATTGAAGTGACGTGACGAAAGATATGCATCTCTGCCTATACCTCCGAAAACAAAAAACATGCCGTAATGAGATTTCAGATCCAAGGTCGTGCCGTCGCAGTGATGTGTTTGAACACAGACATAAACTATAAGAAGCTGCAGAGTTCGTACGAATTGAAGCCGTTTCATGGCCTGCAGAATGCCACTGCTTTTGAAAAGGAACAGAATAAGAGAAAAAATACTTTGCTCACTGATTTTGGGTAACACTCTACATAAATATAAAATAAGTAATACAATTTCGAATCCAAAACCGAATAAAGTAAGTGTAATTTTTGTGTTACTATATTCTAGTGACCCAATCTTGTGCGGTCAGTGGAACCCATTTCAGCGTCCTTCTACAGTAAAAGACGACAGTCAAACAGAAGTAAGTATCAACTTAATAATTGAGAATGTCCTGTATTAAGAACAATTACAATAATCAATAAAAATTGCCATACTTAAAGGCACAGGGAGATACGATGAGGCCAAAAAAGGATGTACCGAAAATTATTATCGGACAAGAATTACTAAAGACATTTGAAAAGTCTGATTCAGAAGAAGTAGGAGAAAAAGTATTGCCAGGGTCTCCCGTAGTACCATCTATTTGTGCCTCTGTAGTGGACATGTTAGAGGAAGATCCCTTTGACTATGATATTGTGAACATTGACACCACACTATTCAATGTAACTGAAGGAAAATCGTTTGAAATGTGAGTTGTTTTGTTGAAACATTTAACTTGTTTTTTTTTGGAATAGTAAGCAAACGAGCAGACCGATCACCTGATGGTAAGCGATCAGCGCCGCCCATGGACACCCGCAGCACCAGAGGGGCAATAGGTGCGTTGCCGGCCTTTTAAAAGGAAGATGCTCTTTTCTTGAAGGCTTGAAGGTCGAATCAGATGTCAAAGATATGTCAAGCAAACGCTTATCATCATAGACAGTTTGTTACAGTCCACTGAAACACTAACCCTCTTCTCCTTAAGAGCCGTTATAAGTATTATATTAATATAATATAAGCTCTTATGAAGAAGAATGCCTAATCAAGGAGCAGACGGATCACTTGATGGTAAGCGATCAGTGCCGACGATGGACACTCGCAACACTAGAGGAGCCACAGGTGCGTTGCCGGCCTTTTAAAAAGGAATACGCTCTTTTCTTGACGGTTTGAAGGTCGTATTGGTTCGGAAATACCGCCGACGATAATTGGGTGGTTTCCAGGGTAAAAAAATTAAAAATCTAATTAGTCCGTCAGTTAGAAAATGAAAAAATATTAGACACGTATTTTTTTAACTTTCTCGTTTATAGTTACAATCTATACATCTATACATATAATAAAATTGTAGAAAAGTGCTGTCTGTACATTGAAAATAAAAATAAAAAAAATAGCAGGAGCTATTGTTATGTCGATGTCGAACCAAAAAATGTAACTAACTTTTTTTTTGTCTGTTTGTCTGTTTGTCTGTTCACGCTAATCTCAGAAACGGCTTATCCGATTTGGATGCAATTTTCACGAATATACTGTGGTCTGCTTCAGTTATGCTTTAGTGTTTGGTTCATGTCAATCGGTTCATAAATAAAAAAGTTACGTCAAATTAAAGAATCACGTCGAACACTATCTATCTATCTATCTATCTATACATATAATAAAATTGTAGAAAAGTGCTGTCTGTACATTGAAAATAAAAATAAAAAAAATAGCAGGGGCTATTGTTATGTCGATGTCGAACCCAAAAATGTAACTAACTTTTTTTTTGTCTGTTTGTCTGTTTGTCTGTTCACGCTAATCTCAGAAACGGCTTATCCGAGTTGGATGCGGTTTTCACGAATATATTGTGGTATGCTTCAGTTATGCTTTAGTGTTTGTTTCATGTCAATCGGTTCATAAATAAAAAAGTTACGTCAAATTAAAGAATCACGTCGAACACTATCTATCTATCTATACATATAATAAAATTGTAGAAAAGTGCTGTCTGTACATTGAAAATAAAAATAAAAAAAATAGCAGGGGCTATTGTTATGTCGATGTCGAACCCAAAAATGTAACTAACTTTTTTTTTGTCTGTTTGTCTGTTTGTCTGTTCACGCTAATCTCAGAAATGGCTTATAATTATATATATATTTAACAGGGTGCGGAAAAGGTGATAGTGGTTTTATTCCTCAGATTCCTCTCATTCCAAAAAATTTTCCGTTTAATTTTAAACGAATTCAGTTTCCAGTGAGCCTATGTTTCGCCATGACAATTAATAAAGCTCAAGGTCAGACTCTAAAAGTTGTGGGTATACATCTAAGTATCAGATGTTTTTCGCATGGTCAATTGTATGTGGCTCTGTCCCGTGTTAGCAATCCCAGCAGCCTGTATGCTTTCACCCCCGAAGGCCATACGTCTAATATTGTATATAGAGAAGCATTACAATAAAGTAGGTTTTTTAGCTACCCAAAATGACTGTGATTATGATCCAAATCTAAAATAAAAATAAGTATATATTTAAAAAAAAACGCTGCTCATAGTCACTATTCTACGCGAACGAAGTCGCGGGCACAGCTAGTACTTAAATAAAATGCGAGTTAAGTTTAGGAGTGGGAGGTCGTTACGTCACAACGTGCTACATTTTGTTGCACGCTGTGACGTCATACGACATTTCAAATCAATATTTAAAATAATCTACTAGACGGACATTAAAATAAAATTTAGGAAACTAGCCAATTCTCTCTGATAAATGCGATCAAGTTCAAAATTAAAGCATTTATTTCAATTAATCCTTGATTAGGCATCCTTGTTAGTGAAGCTAGGTGTGGTATAGTTCCTTAATCGACTCTTATTTTAATTTTGATCCAGGGCCCGTCCATCCTTGAAAACAAAACGAAGATTTGTGGGAGAATCATTGTTAATTAAGCAGCAGATGTTTAGTAACTCCATTAGTTCCTTGTATTTAGAGAAAGGTAGATTTTATATACTTTATAATTTAGAGTTGAATTTTGTTTGTTTGAAAGGGCTAATCTCAATAAATGCGGGTCCGATTTAAAAAAATATGTTTGTATTGGATAATCTATTTATCGAGGGAGGTTATAGGTTATAGACGCGGAGGACTTAACGGGTTGCCGGGGCTCCGGCTCGAAGTGCAGGAGTAGGAACGGGGTGGTTTTTATTCAGTAAAAGTCTGACACTCCCTCCCGCCTCACCCGGGCAGGAGAAACTATTGGATGATTTTCCCCCGTCAAAAAAAGGCTGTAGGTCAAGCAGAGCGGGTGAAACAGCGCAGTAGTAGCTAATATAATTATGTACTTTAACATCTTTAATGTTAACTTTCACAAGGTTTTCTCATCAGTTTGATCTCACCTTAGATTATTATGCGACGAATCTTAAATTACAGTTATGAAACCAAAAAAGAAATTTATGAAATTCGATGACGAGGATTTTACGATATATCAAGGAACAAAAAATGCTTTTGTAATAGAACTTTTTGCGATGTCTGATGATATAGATGAGAGGTCAGTTGAGTCCAACTTTTTAATGTCATCTCCTAAAATACCCGTCAAAGACTATTGACACATATTACATTCGGTCCACTGGTTTGGCAGTTACGATATTAGGTCTGTATTATAACATAACGCCCGTATCCCCGAAGGGGTAGAAGGTGTACATTACGGCACTTAATGCCACTGTAGAATGTAACACCCACTTTTCACTATTTATGTTATGAGTCCTATGTAATAGGGGGTGAGCACTGAGCCTATTGCCATACATCGGGCACGATTCCGGATTTCTTACTACTACTGAGAATTTCTTAAAAACACCCAGTAATACTTTGCTCGACCCGGGAATCGAACCCAAATCGGCCAACGAGACAGTCTGTATAATACCTACTAAATAATTAGGTATATTATAATAATATTCCAGGCAATCTTACGACCTGTTAGAAGCTGCTTTTGAACTAATGAAACATTTGGATTACTGCATCATTCGGGTACCTTCGGCTGACAAGACCTTTCCCTTGTTACAACACTTTTGTGTAAGCTATAATACATTTTTAACCGGCTTCCCAAAAAGGAGGAGGTTATTACATTTTCTGTTAATATACATAGATTAGGTATATAGTTATGCACCTACATTTTTTAAACTTCTTGTTGTTTCATCGCTTCTTTGAACATAACCAGTAGGGTAGTAGACTAAATTTCTTTTTTTTGTCCATCTGGTAGATTATTTTAGAATATTAGACACGTATTTTTTCATTTCTTACAAAATTAAATACTTTCGACGATATATTGATTTGAAATATCGTGTGACGTCACGATTTACTATATTTTATAGGGTACAGTGACGTAACGACACCCCACTCCTAAACTTAACTCCGTTTTATCTAAGTATTGTTTTCTTATACGACAAAATAAACAAATATGTGTCTAATATTTGATCATTAGATATTATCTAACTGACGGACTAATTATATTTTTAATTTTCTTACAATGTCTACTATCCTATTGTTACACAGTAGATGGTTTTACGTACTATTTAATTTCTAAACGTTCATTATTTGCAGTTCGTGCCAACAAAACCGAAAGTTTGCTGCAGCTATTCGCTGTACATTGCACACAGAAGCTCAGTTTTAGGGTAGGTAAAGAATTATATCTACTTATTTCTGTACCTACTTTTTGTACACATGGGGTTTATCTAGTAATAAGAACAATTAACTCGTCGAGTACCGGTTTTGTAGACACAATTATAGAACAATAGGTTGCGGTCACCGGTGACCGCTTGGTGTTAGACAGTTTAAAAGTAGAATTAAGTGGATCACATAATTATAGTACAGGCACACATTCACGTAACAAAGTCATAGTCGAAATCATTTATTTCAATTAGATCAGAAACACTTTTGACCGTCACCTGTTGACTTCACTTTAAATTCTTTGTTGAAGGTCAATAAAAAAAAATTATAGTGAAGCAATTTGCTCATTCCAATGTGTACCTCTATATTCCTATGGAGAAGAACGAGCAAGAAACTCCATAGGTTACTCTTTTTCAATTACGTTCACAATAAAATTCTTTAGTTACATAGTTTACATGTACTTTTCACCACTTTTGCTCACGTACGTGCCTAATAAAATAGTTTGCCTTACTTTTCATTGCCATGCAAAGTAACTATGTAGTATATTATATTGTAGATTGGTTTACTGATCATTATAATTATTCTACATACAATTCGCAGCAAAAAAAACGGACTCACTATCGTTCAATTCATAATAAATATTCTTCTTAATTATAATCTAAATATTTCTTTCATTGTATCCACCCAAAGGTTGTCTGGTAGAAATCACTATAAGTGATAAGGCCGCCTTTGTGCCCATTATTATTTTTTATTTAAGTATGTTTGTCATTTCCTTTTCTGTATATAGATACTATATTATTAATGGTGTACAATAAAGTTTATTCTGTTGGTAACATATTATCTTATATCTTATACTATTATATAAAGCGGAAGAGTTTGTTTTTTGTTTGTTTGTTTGAACGCGCTAATCTCCGTAACTACAAGTCTGATTTGAATAATTATTTTTGTGTTGGATAGCGCATTTATCGAGGATAGCTATAGGCTATAAAACATGACGCTACGACCAATAGGAGCTGAGCAGAGCGTGTGAAACCGCGTGGAAGTAGCTAATGTCGTATAAAGGGTAATTTAGTTAAACTTAGAAATGAGAGCACTTTTTGTAAACGAAATATTTTTTTAAGCATAGCGGGTTTGATAAAATGAAAAAAAGCAGTTTCTGTGCTCCCTAGTGTATTTTTTAAAGCATATTTCATCAGTCAATTCTTTTAACAACAATTTTCTTGTATAGGAAATTGCGGGTTCGTGAAGCGGAGATTATCGACATTCCTGAAATAGCAAAGCTCTTAGCAAATACGGAAGCAAAGGACACTATAACATATATCGAAAATACTATAAAAGAAAAAGAGAATCTTGCATATATTTTCACCACTGGAATGCATATTGTTGGCTTGGGTATATTAGAGTACGTAAAATTTAGTTTTATTTTGGTCTTGGTCTATGGAGGCAAACGAGAGACGAGTCATCTGATGGTATGTGATCAGCGCTGTACATAGAAGACACCCATGATACCATTAGAGTTACAAGTGCGTGGTTCGCTTCCTCCCTTTTAAGTGTGAGAGAGCCGTGCTTCGGCACGAATGGGCCGGCTTGACCGGAGCGATACCACGGCCTCACAGAAAATCGACGTGAAGCAACGCTTGCGTTGTGCTTAGTCGTGTGAGTGAGGTTACCGGATGCCCAATTACCTTCCCCTTCCCCAATTTCTCCAATTTCTGAATCCCCAACGATCCTCAAACTCCTAATCTCCAAAAGGCCGGCAACGCACTTGTAACGCCTCTGGTGTTCCAGGTGTCCATGGGCGACGCTGATTGCTTACCATCAGGTGATCCGTCTGCTTTTTCTGTAAGGCCGTGGTTACTCCGAGGAACCGGATTATTCAATTATTCATACCAAAGTATGGCTCTTACAACGCTTTTGCTTTAAGCAAACAGTCAGAAAAAAATTACCACTATATGCGAAAACATGATTTAATGAGAGCTAGCCCTTTTTGGTGTAGGTATAATTGTATTATTTACTCCTCATAAAATATTAATTTTCTTTAGGTCAGCAGATCAAATAGACTTTATACGAGGAAGATACAACCTGGATTCTTATCAAATACACAAATACCATTATTCGGGGAATGGCATACATGCTGGATTCGCCACAGTCAAATGCACTATAGTATACCCAGTGTTTGAACCACATTATAGGTTTTTTGCTAGAGAAATGATGAGGCTATCGGGAAACAGTTCTCTTCTGTGGCTTACGGCTTATAGAAATAAATGGGTAATATTTTAAACTATCTAATAATACAACATGTTTTTGATACTCGCAATATGTTACGGCTCTGCGATGCAATGCGAATTCGCAACGCAAAAAATTACGATGCGAATTGCTCCGGTGCGATTTCGTGCGACAAGGCGTCTCCCATGGTGACCATTCCTTCGACGATCGTTAATCGTACAAAACGTACCTATTTTAAATTGAAAACTAGGTCGTGACATGAATCGTAAAAGTGTGCACTTTTTTATTGCTTAGGAGATACAGGAAAAAGAATCAATGAAGATTTTGGGAAGATAAACTTTTCGATGCGCGATGCTAATCAATTCGCAAGTTCTTACGATGCGCAGAGGGCAGCTCGCACATTTTTGCGATGCGACGTCGCATAGCAGTTTTGTGTACGAGCCCTAAAAATAAGTAGTGGATCTTTTAGATAGAGTATCAGAGAACATTAGTTAGACCTAAGGCTTCCAGTCTCGATACATTTTCGAGTCCCGGGAAAAAAAAATCGAGACTGGGTCCGGTCCCGGGAGTCCCGGGAAAAACGAGACTTTCGAGACTAAATAAGTTTCATACTCATGGTTTATACAATTAGGCAAATAAAACAATATGTTTCAATTATGCACTTTATTAATCAACTATTACAAAAAAAAAACAAATGTATTATATAAAATTAACATTTTTCATTTTTAAAATATGCACGCAGAAAGCAAAGGGCATTCAATGACTTTTCAGATAAAGAGGATCTGATTTTGTTACAAAAGTACCCTGCATTTGAAAAAGCTCTCTCTGCTTCGACACTAGTAGGGGGGATGGATAGTAAATAATTATAGCACTGATTTAAATGCTTACCTCTGTCACCACCGTTCTCAAAGAGAGCTTTTTCTACATGCAAAGTCGTTTGCAAGTCATGAGTGTTGCCACGTCACTTAATTAAAATAATAATGGTAGTTTAGTAGATTTTTTTAGTAGATTGGTATTTTTTGTAGATTATTTAACTAACTCTCGAAAGTCTCGAAATTCTCGAAAATTGGAGCTGAGGTCTCGAGTCTCGAAAACATGAAAAAATCGTCGAGACTCTCGGGATTTTCGAGACCGAGACTCCCGGGATGGAAGCCCTAGTTAGACCCTATCCAGTAGGATAGGAAATTAAGTATAATTTAGAGTTGTGCTTTGAATGAAATATCAATTTAAGTTATAGGTAATATAGGTCTGTATTGAAGTAATTCCTTTCATATTCTATAGACTATACATAAAGCCAACTCTATAGTAGCTTCAATGGTACCGTTAACACCAAGAACTGTGGAGATTGACTGCGATGCTGTTCCGGAACTTAAAAATCTAAGTATTTTCACTGAAAAATCGTGCGTATATTTGCTTGCTTCATAAAAATTATACTAAGGAACTACTTACCTTCCAAAGATTTCAATGACTAGATTAAGATCACCTATAATTAACTTCGGTTGTAAATCTTTTAATTCTATTTCTCTACAAGCAAAGAGATGAGATGTTATATTGAAAGAAGTGTTGGTATCTTTAAATGTTTTGCACCCACCATTAAATAAGTTATTAGTATGTTAATTTTCACAGAATTCCATTCAGTAGCTGGTTCATTGAACGAAAGTTTACAACAATACCCAAAGCGGACGTGAACACTCGCATTGTAGTCATTGGGGCTGCTGCTACTGGATTAGGATTCTTAAACGGTTTACTCTTTAGGTATGTTAATTAAATATTGCTTGTAGGTACCTAATTTATCAGACCCTTTGGCTAGATTAACATAACATCACGGCTATTATCCCCGAAGGGGTAGGCAGAGGTGTACATTATGCCACTGTACAATGTAACACCTACTTTTCACTATTTATGTTAGTTATGAGTCATCGTATGTTATGGGGCACAATTCCAGACTCCGTGGTACCACTAAGATTTTGTTTTTAAATCCAGTAATACATTGTCCGACCCGGGAATTGAACCTGAGACCCCTTGCCTGGCAGTCGTACTTATGACCACTCGGCCAACGAGGACTTTAACTCTGAAAAAAAGAAAAATAATATTCTTTTTCGCTCTTGTCTTTTCCAGTAAAACAGCCACATATCTAACATTTAACAATGTGACTGTAATATCACCGAATGGTTTGCCATATACAAGGCATTCGAAACCGGTAGCCGAGTCTATGTTTCTTCGATCCTATGTCACTACCGATAAGAACCTGAAGTGTGTTCCCTACTCCTACTACGTGAACGTCGTACAAGGAACTTTGATGGAAATTGATTTGTAAGACTTTTAATTTAATAGCATAGATAGGTTTTTTATATTTGATGGGCCGACGTTTGACTAATATCTCGCCTGGTATAAGGGCCAAAACACATAACGGCGTTGCGGCGCCGCGCCGCTAGAATTCACAGTAGTGTCACTGCCGATTTAAACGCAGCGTTCGTTTCAGCATAGCAATAATGTCTTAATTAAGTAAAAACGCGGGTTACTCACGTGAATATACTGAGAAAAGCTCTACTAGTTTTTTCACTGAGCTCAGTGAGCTGCGCGACGTCGCCGCGACCGCGCACGCTGCTCATGAGGAAGAACCCCTCTGTGGTTCGAAACTAGTAGAGCTTTTCTCAGTATATTCACGTGAGTAACCCGCGTTTTTACTTAATTTAGTATGTCTCACGATAGTTATTATAAAGACAAGTAATGTCTTCTTAATAACAAATAAGCAATAAGTAGTTTTTCACGATGGTCCATGGCAGAGACACGTCTATCCACAATAAAAAATCACGACGAACTGGTTACCCTGCCGAACGACAATAGAACGCTCTTTTTCACGACGCAACGCGGTTTTGTGTTTTGTGTTTTGGCCACAAATATATTAAAGAAGTATTTCTGTGGTTTCGGCACTAAGCGATGATGCGGTCTAGGATCATTGCGAAAACTTATTTTTTCTTCCTCATTTAGTTTATGGGGGAACGATATCTGTAGATCTGTAGATCTGTAGATAGATATCAAGTTCGTTAATGTGCTATTAGAAACGCTTCTGTCCAGCTATGGAAGAAGCTAATGATAATTTCACTTTAACTGTTAAGTTTAAAATGGTAATAGTCAAACCTCGAATCACACACATCACACAAAGTGTGACACACACATCACACAATGTGTGTCATTGCCAGTGAAATGAAATTGTTTCAAAGTGAAAGCAACAATTAATGAGGAATTTCTTTTATGTCTCGAGGTCCATTACCTTACTTATCCTTATCTTAACCTTTTCTTTCAATTGCGACTGAATTATGAATTTGTTGAGTCCAGTCACAGAAAACGTATTATAAACAGATATATATGAATTACAAAATATGTTTTGCACAATTGCAGACAAGAAAAATTTATCACATTGACAAGTGGCAATTGTTATTATTACGATCTTCTGTTTTTGTTCTTTGGTAAGCAGTATCAGCATCCTGATCATATGGTGCAGTTGATACAACGAGATATCGAATACAAGTAAGGATAAAATTTCATCTATCTATATAAAGTATTCATTTATTTCATCTATCTAAATAATTTCATCTATCATATTTACTATTATGTAATATTTTATTTTTAATAATTACCATGTTTTCTCTCTTTATTTGCTGTTAGTTTATTCTCCGTACCTTATTTTTCACAGATTTTCTATTTAAACCCTAAGGTTGACGGGTAGAGAATGTTAATGGCATTAAGTTCGCCTTATGTGCCATAATCAAATTGTGTAAATAAAAGAATAAATAAATAAAAATGAATTTCCATTCGTCAGTCTCGCTAAAACTCGAGAACAGCTGAATCGATTTGGCTAATTTTGGTCTTTAAATGTTCGTTGAAGTCCAGGAAAGGTTCATAAGATGAGGAAATTGTTTTTAAAGCGGTACTAAGTTTTCCGGGTCAGCTAGTTTAAAATATATTTTTAAAGAGTCACAAGAAAAGTAATCAGTTTCGCCGACTGCAACATTAGAAGGGTTAATTGCAATGTCGAAAAGTGTTGTGTCCTAAGTAACCTCACTCATACGGCGAAAGACAGTGAAAGCATTGTTTCACGGTTGTGGCCGCAGAATCACTTCGGTTGAGTCAGACTATTCGTGCTGAAAGAAGCGGGATTGCCCACAAAAATTTGTTATAAACTTGTTAGCGAATGCTTGATTTTAGTATAGGCTACTTATTGCTTTGTTTCTTTCTATGTACACAGGCATAATTTGGTTACAACACCATACATAACTCTCGATAAACCGAGGTTTAGTGACACAGAGATCCAAATAGCCAATGATGAGACGCCAGAGAATGTGTTTATAATCAACTCCGTTGGTGAAGCGAATAAAGCTTTGGATTACGTCAAAAAATTTGCTGATGACGATTCTAGTAAGTATTGTATTAAAGTTTTTAAGAATCGATTCCTGATAAGTGTAAAGTGATATTGATCTTATAGATTTCTTATTTTTCGTAACTACTATAATGATACTAATTATGAAAAATTTAATCATGTAATATAATAATGTTCATATCATATCATATTTTTATAGAGAAAATAATAGTATATGGGTCTACAATCCACGCGTACTTATGTGTCAATGCACTTGTGGATATCAAAATTCGTCCACAAAATATAATATTCATAGAGCCTTTCCCTCCAGAGCATCCTGAGAAGACAAGAGTACCTGTTTTTGATAATGTAACAGTAAGTCAAATATGTTGCGTTATTTTGAATCAAAAATCATTGTGCAACGAGATTTTCGTATACCTACCTACAAACCTAAAGTGTGGTCATAAATTATGGACATTTCCACCTATTTCTTTGTTATTATAAACTATAACTATTACCTATTAAATTACTATGATTTGCTTCCACATGACACTTTTTATCATTCTCCTCTATCAGACGACTATACAACTCCATACAATCATAATTTTATGCCGGAATGCCAATTGCTACGATTTCTACTTCCTATTCCTATTCCGCTTCATCAACGGTCATCAATCTTTTCATGCATGCTCGTCGGTTAAGGGTACTTTAAATATGACCCTTCTTTAATATTCCCAATCTGGTCAGTATATGCCCGTCTAGTTTACAACTCCATTTTCTTTCATATCTTATGTAATTTATCACTATTCCCCCACAATAGAATATCCGGAACACTTTTAACTTTATAATTTTTTACTTAGGTGGATCAAACAGTAATCAGTGTTTTGGATCGTCTACAGATAAAAGTCTATCGATCTTATTACTTTAAATCGTGGTCTGTAACAGTTGAGAACGTTATTACGCATGCAGATTTCTTGTCTTACGCTGATTACTTGAACTTGGAGTGCAGTGCGTTGTTCTATTATGGAAGAATTGGAGTTAATATGAGAGCGTTTATTGGTAAATAGCATAATATTTACTTTTACATTACAGGTTTGGATCTTTATACTGCTTAAATTTAAGGAACATATTGGCTTCTGCTGACAGGTTCATGTTAAAACCCAAGAAGTTTTTTCTTTATTGATTATAATATGTAATTCAATATTTTGTCCTAAATTATGTTAGATAGATTTTAAATTTTGATAATAAGCTTAGTTTACATTTTTTTGTAGTACACAATCCTTAGCTCTTTAATCAACAAAATTTCAACCGATTTGACTTGAAACCTGTAACCCCTAGATGGAGCAGAGGCTATCCCCAGAATACTGTCGCGGAGAACCTAACGGGTAACCGGGGCTCCGGCTCGACGTGCAGGAGAAGGAACGGGGTAGTTTTTAGTCAGTGAGAGTCTGACACTCCCTCCCGCCTCACCCAGGCGGGAGCAGTCATTCGATGACTTTCCCCCCTTAAAAAAAAAAAATCTCCAGAATACTCTGTCGCGATTGAGTCTTGAATTTCCTAGTTCTTTTCTTTGTAGACTCAAATTATTTTACAGTATTTTCTTCTAGCCATTCACAAGAGTGGATTAGCTTACGATGGAGGCGTAGTTATAGATTATGAGTGCCGTACATTAGACCCTTACGTGTTTGCCGCGGGTCCTTGCACGAGGTACCATAAACGTTACTATGCTGATGCACAAAGCCATAAGTATTACGACAGCACAGAAATTGGAGAAAAGGTTAGTTATATACATATATTATTAATTTTAACTTTGTTTTAAATAAATAAAGTTGTATTGGGATCGGTTCACAATTCATTCAGATATGAACTGTGTATCGATCTCAATCCTAAATCTCTATGCACTCTCTTTAATCCAACTGTGATCGATTTTTGTCACTAGCTGTGTCAAGTTTCTATCTAAACCTGAAATCGATCGAGAGATATATTTATTTATTTATTGAATAAGGGTCTCCAACAAGGAATGCACTTAGAACATACGAGTAAAATTACGAAAAATTAAAAGCTATGAGCTTCCTCAATTGGGCACTTTTCTTAATCAAAAATAAATTATTTCGACTGTTCAATATAATAAAGTATTAAAAAATAATCACACTTTCATTAATCGATTTTATCGCGTATGGCGCGCGCGTCAATGAGCCATCAGACCACCACAGATGGGGCCCAACAGGGCCGATGCCGATTCGGAGTCGCGGAGAACCTAACGGGTTACCGGGGCTCCGGCTCGACGTGGATGAGAAGGAACGAGGTGGTTTTTAGTCAGCAAGAGTCTGACACTCCCTCCCGCCTCACCCAGGCGGGAGCAGTCATTCGATGATTTTCCCCCCTTAAAAAGAAGACTGATAAGGTTACTTATACATTGAACATTAAATCCATTCATCCACAAATGCCCATGTCAATTTTTTTTGTTATAGTTGGGCATTCAAATAAGGAAGCAATTAGACCCGGTGTTTGAGGGGGCAAAAGAAACATTTACACATAGGTGGGCCCAAGCAGAATTTATGAGCTGCCTTAGAGGTTCTACCATGTCGATACAGTCGTAAGTAGTATATTTAAAAATATGAATAAAAATGAATTTCCGTTCGTTACTCTCGCTAAATCTTGAGAAAACCTGGACTGATTTAGCTAATTTTGACCTTGAAATGTTCATGAGTAGTGAGAATATTTTTTACTAGGCGGTACGAAGTTCGTCGGCTCAGCTAGTTAATTATAAATATGGTATAATAATAAATTGCTACTATGAAAAATACCTATATTTTTTATCACATGAGGAATATTTCAATAAACTTCTAAGACTAGATTACCTACATCATTTATATTGAAACTAAAACTCTTCCTAAACTGTCTCTATCTACCTGTCGTTCTTGCTAAAAACCAAACGACCCGTTTATGACCTGATTTCAAAAATAACCTATCGAAATTATCCTAGGCTATGCGCTGGACGTCTACACTTAAGTGATTATGCAAGACCAGAGATGTCGTTGCTAACACTAAATAGACCCAAGGTCATGCACTGCGTCCTACCCGGAGGGCTGAAATATTTGGAAGTCCGCTCGCCAGGTTTGAAGACGCCTCACAATTACGTCCAATCATTGGGATATAACGTTAGTGTCTGTAATTACTGTTAGAGTTATTATTTTAATCTATTGTTTTGTTTAAATGGTGTTGTTAGTGAAGTACATATTATTGTAGTGTGCTTGAAAGATGTACTGTTTGATATATATAATGGGTTAAGTTAAGAGCAGAAAAAAGACAAATGAAATAAAAAATAATGTCAGTCTCAATCTATAGGTGTAATGTACACATTTTGTAGACCAGTTTACAGTTGACCAGTAGTTATCCCTATGCATTGAGATTTAAATACTATTGGAATGTGAAGAGTTGACATCCACTTCTCTTCTCTCTTACTCGACAGTGGCGCCATCTAGGAATTGCGAAAAATGTCAGTCAGTGCTTTCTTGGTTGGAATAATAATTCTGTCATACAATTATTTTCTTACAGGGATTTGTGTTCGAGACTTACAAAACAGGTTACTTTAAGGTGCACCTGAACAAAGAATTAGTTGTTGACGGTCTTACTTGCTTATGTCAAGGAAATTTTTCGTTAGAAAACTTTAAATATCTTTATGGACGACCGGCTTCAGAGCTAAATAATATGCACTTGAGGTATATGGTAAGTGGCATTGAAACACACACACATGATTATATTTTTGAAGTTCAAATAAAATTGATCGATTGGCTAAAGAATGCATGTTGCATAGCTCTCTATTTTGATTCCCTGGGATTAAGTAGGTACGTATACGTAAAGATGCTTGTTGACCCCTAAAGTTTTTAATTTATATTGTTTAACCAAGTTCAATAAAATTTTACGTATCATCTACATAGGTTAGTCACAATTGAAGAAAATGTAACAACTAATTTATTGCTCCATATTTACCTAAATTTTTTATGACTAGTGTATTCATCACAATACATTTTAATAATTTTATAATATCTTCCACCAGGCAAACAAATTGGATGACTTCTTTGAATTCTTTCGATCGCCGTGGGCGTTCTTTTTGTACCACGACCACACTAACGATCTTTTCTCTATGATCAAACAGTTGTACCCCAAGGTATGTAATTTTTGGACACAGGTTAGGTTTCGAATCTTTTAAAAAGTATGACTTATATAACTAATAGATGAAACCTATGAGCACCTACCTATACCTGTTTAAGAGGTTACCGAAGGCCCAGTTACCATCTTCCTTTATCATCCAATCTTTAAATTCCTAATTCCCAAAAGGCCGGTAACGCCCTTGTACCGCCACTGGTGCTTTGAGTGTCATGGCGGGCGCCCTTTGCTTACCATCAGGTCATCCGTCTGGTCGTTTACCGACTTATTCTGTACATAAGTAGCCTTCAAAACTTTGATTATAACGAGCCTGCTAAGCGTAAAAATTATTATGTTACCTTGTATCCAAATTCTCATATATTTTTATTCTTCATTCATCATGTCCAGAAAAAGGTTGTCTTGGGCTGTTGATGATAATGATAACTGATTTATCACTATTTCACGGACACTAACTTGCTAAGCTATGTAGCTTGCATTCTTTGAAGATCTTTAACCTTAATTTCTTCAAATATTACAGGAAAAAACCGACGGACTTACACTTAAAGAAGCATTGTGTAAGGCTGCTGCAAAAATGACCAGAGATTGCCCGGTAACTATATTAATTAAAAAAAATTGTAAATGCAAAGGTTAGATTTAAGGCCACGCTTATGTAAAATTTCAATAAATAGAATTATTTCATAAAAACATACCACACTAACTAGTTGGTTTTTGCTTCCCATGAGGATGAGCAGGGTGCTTACTGTTGCTACTAAACTAATGTCAATGTAATTTCAATCCATTAAAATCTTCTACTCAATAATTATTCAATGTTAAAACTATACAACCCCTATCGTAACTGTTAAAATAGCATTCAGAGTACGGAATATAATGCCAAACTCAGTACCATTTAGTTCCTTCAATATCCACGCAATACGGATGCAATGGGCGTTAGTGTTGCAACTCAAGAATACGACATTTCACTATAGCAATGTCGATCAATCGAAATTGGATTCAAGAGCAAGCCCCCTGGACCAATATAAATATAACCTGTTATAGTGTGATCTGAATCTTTGGAACATGGATATTTACTTATAACTGAGAAAAAATAAAATCATTGGGATTTAGGTAATATTCTGCACAATATCGCATTACTAAGTTGTTCTATTTGGGACTATTCCAACAGCGATGCGATAATACAGTTTCAAAGCCAATATAGCCAGAGCAGTCTTAAAAGGGCTTATCACCTAAATATCGTTAACTAACACACCCACAGCCACCAGTGGTCACCAACTACAGATTTATAATGTTTTGGTGTTTTAATATTTACAGACATTAACAATGACTTCAAAGTTAGACATGCAAAGATGTTTCGAGAACTCCCCGCATATAGGAGCACTGACGGAGTACTTGATAGACTGGCTGTCTCAACACGACATACTCCTACCTATGTACTTACAGCCGGGTAAAGTAGGGTACTACGGATATGATCTTGACAACAATCCCTTCTTTATGAAGAAGGTTAAGCGACGTGTATCTCGCATGATATTGTGATCTTTTGTTTGTATTTATTTCTAGTTTAATTGTTATTGATTTTGAAATAAATTCATTGATATTATATAAAGAGTTTTATTTACGTAGTAAATAAATTCTTAGTAGTAGCACGGAGTCTGGAATTGTGCCGCATTAAGTGCAGTGCAGTAATGTGCACCCCTTCGGGGATAAAAGGCGCGATGTTATGTTATCACTACATAGTATAAAACAAAGTCGCTATTCGCCGTCTGTCTGTCCCTATCCCTGAGATTTTTACAACTACGCAACGGATTTTGATGCGGTTTTTTTTAATAATTTTCTGCTCATTACAATATTAAAAAATAATTTATACCTCTTAATGAAGTCGCTGTTGGGTAGCGTGTAACCTTATTTGTAGCAACGAGGTCCAATGTGTAAATTATTGTCAAATAATACAAAAAAAAACAATGTCAATTTTCAGCTTCAATGAGGCAACATCTCGGATCAAATTATTATAAATATTTATTTATATTTCAGTAGTTAATTTTGCTATTCATTTTATTATTTTGTTAATATGGCGCAACCTAAACCTAATCAGCCGCTTGCTTTGAACGACCTTTTAATACAGAATGTTAATACTTGGGGCAATGTGCAATATAATATACCTCTGCGACTTTCCAGCAATGAGACCAGGACTGGTACAAGTATTGGGCTTAGACACATACCTCCTATATCGCAAAGCTTGGATTGTGTAAGTAGTTATAATTTATTTTAAACTTTATCTGGTTTTGAATATTCTATGTCACTCAACAATAATAATTTGGGATGTGTAATATCAAAGCCATAACAAATTATTATTCTTTCGTTCATTCAGCTTCGGTGAATTTCTTGGTGAAAATCTTTAAGATAATTTAATTTACCTTTCTGTAAGAATGAACATGGGAGTACTTACTGATCAATCACCAACCGGTCACCGGTGACCGCTCTTGTATTGTATTGTATTGTAGACCGTATTTCTGACGTTCAGAGACTACTTTTGTAAGAACAAATGTTATAGATTTCTCATAATTGGACATACGAGATAATTCTTTTTTTTAAACTGGGTTCCGAAAGATACGCCTGCCTTTTGATGAACAGCAATTCAACAGGACATGCTTTGGCAAACACGTCCTTTTTTAAAGTATAAGATAGATTAAACAGTACACAGTGTTAAGGGGTTAGTGGCAGATGCTGAAAAATAGACCCAAAATTCAATGACAAAAATGTTTTTCTTTTAGAAAATCAAAGACCCACTTCCAAAACGAGCCACAGGCCGTGACATGGTGGTTGAAAAGGAATCATATAAAACAACAACGGGCGAATATTGTGTGAAGCCAAATCCTAATAAAGCTATGGAGCGATCTGACTGCGCCATCAACTGCAAAAGAGTTTGCTTTATGACTGGACTTGAGAAACGGGTGCGTACTACGTCAAGATTTCAAACAATCAAGATCATCACACTCTAGTAGAGCAATTATTATGTTTTCGGCTAACTCACGTAACTGTTTGACGAGGAACTCAACTAGTTTCAAGCCATGTTAGAGGCTCATATTCATGAACAGCATTCCGCGATACGCGACGCGGCGACTTCAGTAGTTTGTCACCAGAAATGTAATCGGAAAATTGGGCTTAGCAGTTTCGCTTATAACAAAGTGATTTGATTGAGTTTCGACTTTTGTATAGTATTTTTTTATCAGCTATCTTATAAATGGGTAATAATACCTAATATATTTACTCTACAGTTACAAGCGAAAAATATAACACAACCGTTAATGATATCAGAAATGAAAGACAATTTTAGGGGCCTGGAAAAATCACCATTAGCTCCACCAGACGTGGATATTAGAGCTCCTGATCCTGAATTTATTTTTGATGTAAGTTTTTCCTAAGTGTCTATCTACTTGATAATTGTGTGTGTGTGTTGATATAATCTTTTGATCCTACCCTATAAAACTATTATTAATTTCTTTTCATCATTATCATCATCATGATCATAGCAGCCACGAGCTAGTCGTCCACTGTTGAACGTAAGACTCCTCAATGACTTCCAGAACGGCCGGTCTTAGACATCTTTCTTCCAGAGAATCCCGATGACCTTTATCAGGCCGTCTGTACACAGGATTCGCTTTAGCTATGGCATCATTGAAAAAAGGACCAAATTATCAAAGACAATTCTGATGATAGGAGAAATAAGAGTCGTACAATGTCAGCACTGGCCGCAATAGAAGTTATCACAACGTCTTCATTATTTTAGGCTGTAGCAGCTGGAAGAAACGAAGCCCCTGTGATATTTGACAACGCTGCAGGAGGTTTCAGAAAGTTACTTGATCCCTACGTATCGACTTACAGAACGTACCACAGACCTTTTACTCCTGACGACCAGTATGGGATTGGAGCCAAAGACCATATTACTTTTTATTCGGAATCGAATACTCCAAAGGTAACTGATGTAGTTCTGTTCTTGGTTGTGGTGACAGTCCTCAATAAAGCAAAACTTTTTGAAGTTATTTTTGCTCTGATTAATTTTTCTTTGATAATAGATTAAAGGTTTTGGACCAAGGCACAAAGAAATATGGATGCCATTGACGGGAAAAGTTCACAGAGGCGTGTATGACAGGATCCATGTCAAAAAAGAATACAAGGAGGTTGCTGCTAGTCATAATCCAGTTAATAATTTGAAAGGGTAAGGATTTAAGATATTCAGCTATGATATTTTTAAGTTTCAAGGAGAGACAATTATTTTTTTTTGTATCAAATGTTTTGTTTGCTTCTGTATGTAGGAAAAGTAATTTTTATCAGAATTTTATTTTGGTGCACTATGCACTATGCTATATGGGAACATCTATTCTGAAACTGTCTAGTTCTAATTTTAAATTTTCTTGGTCAGGGTATTCATATCGGAAACAAAGAAGAAGTACAATACGCCGTTTGCGATATCATCCCTTGCATCTTGGGATCATGGAGAAGTATTTGACCTGGCTCCATTCCCTCCGAATCCATACCAAACGAACATAGCACCTTTCATGTACTGCAGTGATTATTGCCACATTGCTCAAGGGACTCCCCCATACACAGTCATAGACCAATTCGCCCATATAATGCCAACACATAAAAAGTGCGTAGAAAGATATATTGTGTCAAAAGATTATGAAGTTTGATAAATAAAAGATTTTCAATAAAGACTACGCTTTTATTTACTTTTTATGTCTTCATATGTTTTTTTATTTGGAGAGAACTCAGGAGATTTGTAGGACTCGTTGCTTGTGATAGAAGTAAACTTGGTAGCTGATTGAGAAGTGGTAAGTATTTCGTAGGCTGTAAGTACACAAAAACAAGAAATTATTTAAAAGGGTACAATCAAACTGGATAGTTGTATTGGCAGATAGTAAAAGAAAACAAAAAAGAGGACTGGGAATAAACATGTTGGTTGTAAATGCGTGACAAGAAGAAAAATCATTGTGCTGCTGAAATGGTTACCTTAGTAATTCTTCGAGCCGAAGTACATAAGTCGCATAATAATTTTAATACAGGAGATAATCCTAGTGTGGGGAATAAATGCAATTTTTTTCTGAACTAAGGTTTTCTATGATGTTCATTTTTTCGCTGAAACAAACATCAAATAAGAACGAATCAAAAATATTTTTATTATAAAAAAAGAGATAGGAACTTGTTGTAATAACTTTGACTTGTGTTCTATGAATAATTCTTTTATAAATAACGTTTGAAAAACTAACTCCGACTCCGACCCTCTATTTTTTTTAAGTCGCTTAGTTAATAATAATATACTATCTAAAACCTATTCCTACAGGTCATAGCACAGTTATACGGCATGGCTCCAATACGGCTCCAACTCAGCAAAAAACACAGTGCTGGAGCCGTGCCGGAGCCGAGCTAAAGCTGTGCCAGAACTATGCTTGTTAAGTGCGTGACCTAAAGTAACAAACACTTTTCTGAAAACTGCGTCAAAATCGGTTCAGCCAATCAAGAGATAATCGCACATATACACACACATACTTCCGTACTTACAGGTCAAACTGTAGTCAGTAATAACAAAGGTTTGGTTGCATTACCTTAGGTCTCCTCACGAAGCAACTGGCGCATCCAGGCATCGAACATTCGCAGTCGATAATTGAGTACTTCTGAAATAGCAATCACTTTTTGATATAACCTAACTAAAGTAAAGAAGTTTTGCAAATCACCGTAGGAAATGGCACCTATATTATTATGGAGTTTCTTGCTCGTTCTTCTCCACAAAAATCTACACTTTGGAATGAGCAAATAGCTTCACTTTTAAATTTTTGATTGACGTTTAAAAGTACTTTCCTGGTCTAATTGAAATAAATGACTTTTGACTTTATATTGTTGACATAATTATGTGTAATAAATTAACCTGATTATCTCTATCTATTTTTCAAAAAATTAAAAATATATATAATCTGTGAGTCTGGAGTAGCTGGCTATATGAATAGCATAGGTAATTGTTGATTTATAATATGGATGATGAAAGATACTAACGCGTTTCTTAATCTTCTTGTTTTTATTATTACAAATAGCATTATCAAGATGTTCTATCGTTTTCTGAGAATCATTGTCGTTCTGGAAAATTATTTGGATATTAAGTATATATATTTTTAAAAATTAATAAACAAATATTGCTTAAATTGAGTACATAATTAACTCACGTGTTGGTTATCGAAACAACGACGACATTTTAATTTGGAGTTTGGTTTCACCATTATTCCTTGACTTCTTTAAATCTTTTTTCAATTATTGATCTCATAAGGGGATTGTTCTAGAAGAGAAAAGGAAATATGAATATCAATTCGAAGAACAAAAATACACTGTCTTATAATATCATAACAAAAATAGACTGTGTCTTAACAGAATATAAAATAGACTGTGTCTTATATAATTACTAGCGATGACTTCGATGATGGCTTCGCAGGGGTGCATGCAATATGCATTTATTAAAAAAAAACACATCAAAATCCGTTGTGTTTTTTTAAAGCTTACTTATGGGCAGACAGACGGCGGATAGCGACTTTGTTTTATACTATGTAGTAATCACTTTCTTTGCCGCAAGTCCACAGGAAGAAATTCCAATAGGAATAGGTGGTACCTTTATACTTCAATCTAATATATGTGTTGTCCTTTGTGTTGCATAAAATAATAAAGAAATAAATAACTCTTCCTATCAAGTCTTTATCCTAACTTACCCCAGGGCATTGATCATTGGGACATTTCGTGTTTTTGGCGTCATCCACACATTTCTGCAAAAGAAAATATTTTTACGTCAACGAAGAAAGAGGAATACAGAATGTAATTCGTTAGGACAAAATTGATAAGGTCACTTCTCCTATCAGCGATCGGTAAGCAATCAACGTCCAATTCTTCTTCTTCTTCTTCTTATAGTGCCTCTTCAATGTTGAAGGTCGGCCGTCAGCTTCTTGTATTTCTCCTTGTCGGTAGCCATGCGGAACAATTGTTCGACAGATGTAATGCCGGTCCACTCCCGGATGTTTCGCAGCCACGATTTTCTTCTGCGCCCAGCACGTCTCTTCCCCTCCACTTTGCCCATCATGACCAGTTGAAGCAGTGAATATCTATCGTGTCTAAGCACGTGACCGAGATATTCGATGAATAAGAAAGTTCTGTGTTGTCGTCAAATAAACATTAAGCTCAGAGCTAGGTTACTCTTCTGCTACATCTGGCCTCTAGTCATGTACGGATGTGAAGCATGGACCGTGAAGGAGGACACTACGAGACGTATAAATGCATTCGAGATGTGGTGTTAGTGTGCGTTACCCCAACAAGAAAGTATCTCCTAGAGATATATGAGTAGGACGTATAGTTGGTGCCTTATCTGCTGTAAATGTGCCCCCACTTAAAAAATGTGTGCCCCCTGTCGTTTTGAAAAAAAAAACGGAAAAATGATTCTTGCTGGGGTAACGTTTTTCTAGCAGGAAAATTCTAAACGAGTGATCGGAGAGAGAAAAAATGTGCCTGGCCAGAGAGCTTATATGTGTGCCACTATGTGCCCCCAAAAATAAAATCTGTGCCCCTTCAGATTTTCGGGATATTGCGTTTCCTGCTGGAGTAACGTTTTGATGAATCGTATATCTCTAAAACCATTGCATGTGCCCCTGTAGAATAAACATACACGAGTAGCTCTTAATGTGTGCCCCTGTGTGCTCCAATTAGATTTAAGGAAATATTTATAGTTTTCAAGTTACCGCGGTTTTATGAAAATCCGAAAAAACATCGCAGCGCCTAAATGAGACAAGGTATAAGTTCGCTGAAAACTGTATTCGGTCCTTCTTGATGCTAGTAATAACCATACAAAGTTTCAAAACGCTTCATGCATGCGTTTTTGAATAATCTTGCTACAAGTCAAGACGATGGTGTCATAACTTTGACGGCAAAATACAAGGAAATGGCTAAATCCCAGATGTGTAGGTGTAAACCAAAATCATGTGCCTTTAATCAAAAATATGTGGTGAAAATATTAAGCTTGGAATGTTTCGCATTAAGTAAATATGAACAAAAAACCAAATTAAGTAAACAACGGCTGGTTATCCGACCAAATTTGAATGACTACTAAAAAGCGACGGATTCATACATATCGATAACCTTCTTTATTTTACTTACTAACCGGTTCACACGTGTTGTGCCTGAGTACACTGAAGTAGAAAAGTAATAAATAATAAAATCAAGTTGTTATTGGATTATGTTCTACTAGTGAATAATAGGTACAAAGTGTTTATTGACTAGGAAGTGCGTTTAGATATTTCTTTTTATTGGTAAATAGTTGCAGTTATGTAATGACGCCAAGGACACTGTTATGTTGAGTCACGCAGTTGCACTTATACTGTTTGTTTACTTTAGTTGGTTGAAAGTGGCGTATTTAATCATTTTATAACAATTATGTGGTTGTTATGGTGAATTTCAGTGCACTATCTGCGGTGGTAAGTATTTAATATCATTATTTTGACTTATTTACAAATACTTGTACCTTATGAAATAGTTGGGTTTTTTTTCATTAAGTATTTTGGCTAAAATTTCCATTGTGGACCGTCGAGTTAGAAGTTCTTTTTTTTTAGATAGTACTCTTAGAAAATACTTTCTGTTGATGCTACTGGCTCCTTATTTCAGCCAATTGAGCCACCACCTTCTAATGATTTATTAAAATATCGCACTCCTAAGCATTTATTTTTATATGCAGTAGTTGCCTACAGTAGAGATACCAGTGTACCAATGTGCTACATGGCCTCCGAATCCCATACAATGGAGACGATATCCACATGGTTAAATACTTTTAAATAAATATTTTTTAATTAAATATGGTTAAATATTTTTTAATTAGCCCCCAAAACTTTTGAACGCAACTGCACGGACAACAGCTTAGGTATAATACGTCCAATAAAGAAGGTCATCGATATGTATGAATCCGTCGCTTTTTAGTAGTCATTCAAATTTGGTCGGATAACCAGCCGTTGTTTACTTAATTTGGTTTTTTGTTCATATTTACTTAATGCGAAACATTCCAAGCTTAATATTTTCACCACATATTTTTGATTAAAGGCACATGATTTTGGTTTACACCTACACATCTGGGATTTAGCCATTTCCTTGTATTTTGCCGTCAAAGTTATGACACCATCGTCTTGACTTGTAGCAAGATTATTCAAAAACGCATGCATGAAGCGTTTTGAAACTTTGTATGGTTATTACTAGCATCAAGAAGGACCGAATACAGTTTTCAGCGAACTTATACCTTGTCTCATTTAGGCGCTGCGATGTTTTTTCGGATTTTCATAAAACCGCGGTAACTTGAAAACTATAAATATTTCCTTAAATCTAATTGGAGCACACAGGGGCACACATTAAGAGCTACTCGTGTATGTTTATTCTACAGGGGCACATGCAATGGTTTTAGAGATATACGATTCATCAAAACGTTACTCCAGCAGGAAACGCAATATCCCGAAAATCTGAAGGGGCACAGATTTTATTTTTGGGGGCACATAGTGGCACACATATAAGCTCTCTGGCCAGGCACATTTTTTCTCTCTCCGATCACTCGTTTAGAATTTTCCTGCTAGAAAAACGTTACCCCAGCAAGAATCATTTTTCCGTTTTTTTTTCAAAACGACAGGGGGCACACATTTTTTAAGTGGGGGCACATTTACAGCAGATAAGGCACCAACTATACGTTCTACTCATATATCTCTAGGAGATACTTTCTTGTTGGGGTAACGCACACGTGGTGTTACCGTCGTATGCTCCGAATCAGCTGGACACAAAGGGTCAGCAACGAATCCGTGCTACAGCGCGTCCAACGTCCAATAGATAACCGCAACACCAAAGAAGACATAGTGCATTGCCAGTCTCTATAATATAGGTGTGATGAAATGAAATGAATGAAGTATACATTACACGCTAGGAAAAAAAATTATGACAAATAACAATAAAAAGTGTGGGAGAGCCATGCTTCGGCAAGAATAGGCCGGCTCGACCGGAGTGATACCACGGCCTCACAGAAAACCGACGTAAAGCAACGCTTGCGTTGTGTTTCGTCGTGTGAGTGAGGTTACCGGAGGCCCAATTACCCTCCCCTTCCCCAATTTCCTCAATTCCTGAATGCCCAACAATCCTCAAACTCCTAATCCCCAAAAGGCCGGTAACGCACTTGTAACGCCTCTAGTGTTCCAGGTGTCCATGGGCGACACCGATTGCTTACCATCAGGTGATCCGTCTGCTCGTTTACCGGCTTAGGCCATAAAAAAGTTTAAAAACAGAGATAGAAAGAAAAAATACAATAAGGTAAATTATAAAACTAAAACAAGCTAAAAATACAGGTGCAACATACTACGCGGTGTTGGCGGACATGCCCAATCCGAATGGGCCACCAGCTCATTGATGATGTAACTCAACAAAGAGGCAGAGGTGCACACAGAAGTAACACTCACTTTTCACTATTTATGTTATGAGTACCATGTAAAGGGGGTGAGCCTATTGTATTGTATTGTAATTCAACAAGTCCAACAATAGTTTAACTTACTTCAGGGCAAATGTATTCAGGAGGGACAGGAACTCTCTGTCGTTTCTTGGCAGGTGGACATGGAGGATTATGGAAGCAGTGGGTTGGTGTGGCACAAGGGGCAGAAGGTCGAGACGGCCAGTAGCACGGCATCAGGTAAGGAAAGCAAGAAGACGGTGGTATGCATTGCGGCAGATGATGGCAAGATCTAGCTGCCATTGGCTGAAATAAAAATTAAATTAACATTACATAACATTACGCCTCTTATCCCCAAAGGGGTAGGCAGAGGTGCACAATACGGCACTTAATGCCACGGTACAATGTAACACCCACTTTTCACTATTTATGTTATGACTCCCATAACATAAATAGTGATAAAATAGGGGGTGCTATTGCCATATACTGGGCACAATTCCAGTCTCCGTGCTACTACTAAGAAATTAAAGCCCAGTAATACTTAGAACCCGGGAATCGAACCCAAGACGCCTTGACCAGCAGTCGCACTTGCGACCACTCGGCCAACGAGGTGTAAAATTAAAAATTAATCAAACAAATTACCGTTGCCATAATAGGGGATCGGACAACAATAACGATAAATATGAAGTGTACATAAATAAAATCTGCATAATATTTAACGATATAAATATTCGAATTTTCAAAAATATTTTTTTTTGGGTAGAAACAAAGTTAAATGTCGTGGTGGCCCGGAGGTTAAGACGCCCGCTTCTCATGCATGAGGTTGGAGGACCTACCAACGGCAAATACCAATGTAACTTTTTCCGAGTTATATGTACTTTCTAAGATTATTTAGACACCACTGACAAACGGTGAAGGAAAACATCGTGAGGAAACCTGGACTTATAATTTCTAATTATTAGTTTGAAATCGCCAACCCGCAATGAGCAAGTGTGGTGATTAATGCTCAAACCTTCTCCGTTTGAGAAGAGGCTTTGCTCAGCAGTGGGCATTATAGGCTGATGATGATGATGATGATGATGATGATGAGAAACAAAGTTTTAAATTTTTAAATCAAAAATCAAAATTTGTTAATTACAACATTTTTAATATGTTCTGTACCTGTAACGAAACATAAATCACGTCGCGTGACGTCATTCGTGGGTAACGAACGTAAACAACAATATACGTAGATTACAGACGTCTTACTGAGGCCTTAGTACGAGTTTAATTTACGTTTAAAGTATTCGAAACGAGTTCGCGTTCGGCACTCTGATTGGCCGAGACCAATAAACCAACCAATCACAGCGCGGAACGCGTACTTGTTACGATTACTATAAACGTAAAACAAACTCGTACTAAGGCCTCAGGACTCTAGTTTGACAGTAGGTGGCGTTCCGCGAAGTTTTCGCGGCAATTTTAAAATACGTATTTTTAAACACGTTTTGTTTTAATAATAGATCAGTAACAAAGAAAAAAATTTTTTTTAACCGACTTCAAAATAAGGAGGAGGTTCTCAATTCAACCGTATATACCTATGCCTTATTTAACAAACGATTAGTTTAATACTTTTGAAAAGTTGTCCGATCCCCTGCTATAAGTGTTAATAAATTAAAGTATTAAAACGAACCTTATGCAAAACACAGCTAGAACGAGGAGTTAATTCTACAACTGGGTCATCGAATTTTGGTTTCCGATTTACTTTGATCTGTGAATTCAAGTCTTAAATTAAAGACAGTGAAGTCGATATTAAAAAAACACAATATTCTATCTGATTCGCAATCAAACCTTTAAGCCATAACAATTATTGCAATCAATCGCGCATCTGGAGGTCGGGCGCGAGTACTGTGGACAGAAGATAAGAATTACAATATAATTTCATGGACAAATTGAGTGAAAATGTTAGTAGATTTAATATTTCTTTTAAATGCTGACCTTGCAAGAACACCGTCCTCTTGGGCAAGTACCGCACTGAGAATAAAGAAGATAATATTATAATACACACTACATACACACACACATTCTTATGCACACATCCACACACATACTACGCACTTTTCTTTTGTTATGGTGTTATTAACTTAGTTTTTTCATTTTTTTTAAATACTAGGATTTTCTCCTGTGTCGTTCGTGGGTGCCTTGACAAACATACAAGTTCACATACTCAATGACACCCAGACCCGAAACAACAATTTGTGGATCACACATAGTGTTGTTCCGTGCGGGAATCGAACCCGCGAGACGTTGCGCGGCAGCCGGTCGCCCAGCCACCGCACCAACTGTGCAGTCATTGACAACTGTTAGAATAGTCCTAAGGAAATCGCTGTATTTTGACAGCCGCGACACAGGCTGTGTCTAGTGCGGTTGTCATTGTATACTGGATTAACATGACTGTATGCTTTGGGCTGGTAATAAAGAATTTAAATTTATTTTTTGACGTGACAACGTCTTAAATTAGGTTGCGGCTGGGAGTCACTTATGAAAAAGTGTAACGCTCGGTAACGTTACGATGAGTCACCGAACGAGAGAGAGGCCCGCCGAATGCCTTGCGTCTCTCTCCCACTCAACTATGATCGGTCTGCCGCGCGCGCAGCACTAGTTCATTCAATTCCTTGTTCCTATTGTGCAATTTAATTATATTCATATCAATAAATATTCTACCGAGAAAAAGACGTTGTCACGTAAAATCTTCGCCCGTAAAAACGACTTTACAGGCAACCATTTTTTTTTTAA